TACCATGTTGAATCTAAATGGCGGCTGTCGAAGAGACCCTAGAAAGGCACTCCTCTAACAACAATTTAGTATGCATACAAAGTTTAATTCTTCAACTTTATTAGGAGAAGCTGTAGAGACTAATAATTCTTACATGACGAAATGTAAACATTTATCCAAAGTTTATTAATATTGTTCCACCAGGGAACTATACACCGAATTTCAGCTACTTTGGTCCAAAGGAGAGCTGGGGAAGCAAATTGTAGCCGAAAAAATCAATTAACTGGATACACACACACACACACACACACAAAAAAAGTCCAATTATTCTCTTGTAAATTGATTATTTAGTAAAATGATAGTTATTTATTAAATGTTAAATTAATAATAAATGAAATATCTTTGAAAATGTACAAAAAGTAGTTGTAATGAACACGGTTATGCAACCACAATATATGTTTTTGCTCTAATTGTTTCAGGGGTTTATCAAACTATTCTTGACAGTTGATCACAGTTTCCGACAGTTTATCAAACTACTCGTATCTTTTTCAATTAGGCCAAGGAAGACAGGCTACTTCTCAAAATATTTGATTTACACTTGAAATGACAACTGCCTTAAACAGGCCCAGAAACTGGACATTTGGCAAGGGCATCCGTTTATGAGGTGCAGCAAAATTAGAGGTAAGATAAAAAATAGTACGGGGATAAAGTTCTTCAAAGTATAGTACTTGTTTTAATTATCAAAAATACACATCAGACAATATAACATACAACATTAAGAAGTTTAATAGCACATACTCTTACCATAATGTAATGTCATATGGAGAGGTAAAGGAAAGAAATTACACTTCGATTTTTTTGAAAATCCGAATTAAGGATTTTCTGAGGTGGAAAACGAATAGAATCAGTTTTCTCACTAAACGAATATTTTATGAGAATCGGATATGCTTAGCTTGTATAACATTTACACTGCTTGCCTTTTCGGACCGAATTGGGGTATATACCAGGCTTTGTGCATTTAATCTAACTGTCAATACTCGCACGTTTAATATAAAGTGTGTCTTCTTAATTTATCACCGAAAATCTCATTAATAAAATAGATTTATTCATGCATAAGCAAAGACGATTGATGGAATTCGATAAAATTAATAATAACAAATCATTTGCAGATTAAATCCCAAATTCCTATTTAATTCTTGTCAAAACACTGTCATCACCACATACGCTGATGACACATGTATCCTATCAGTCAATAACGACCCATCTATTGCATCCCAAACCCTTCAATCCCACATCACAAACCTTGAAGAATGGTGTCAGAACTGGAGAATTAAAATAAATTCCAATAAATCCCATCAAATTACCTTCAACCTTCGTCGTAAACCAATGACTTCCTGTCCTTCAGTATCCTTTAACAACACCTCACTTATTCCTGTTGAACAAATCCGTTACCTAGGACTCCATCTGGACAAACGTCTAACTTGGAATCCTCATACCAGACTGAAACGACAAGAAACCGCTCGACGTTTCCGACTACTTCAACACTTACTAGACAAACGCTCTAACCTTCCAATCAATTATAAAAGACTGATTTACATGACTATAATAAGGCCTATTTGGACTTACGGGGTTGAGCTATGGGGCTCCACCAAGCCTTCAAATTCCTCTCGCATACAGTCCTTGCAATCCAAAATCCTTCGTAAAATCCTCAATGCTCCTTACTTTGTTACAAATAAAATTATCCATAATGACCTTAATGTTCCTTATGTATCAGATTTGGCCCAATCCAGATATCTGTCCTTCCATAATAAACTTCATAACCATCCCAACCCTCTTGTCTCTAACCTTGCTTCCTATTCGATTCCTGATAACCCTAGGAGGCGTCTGAAAAGAAGATGGCCACGTGATCTTCTAATATAGACATATTATTAGAGTGCTACCAATGGGTAGTTTCTCAACATGTGTTCCATGTCTTTATACCAATGTGCAAATTTACTAGATGTATTTTTTTGTATACAGTTGTAAATATCATTTAAAATAAATAAATTCTTGTCAAAATGGTCGCATAGCTATAAGTAGTTGAAATTCAGTAAAATTGATATGGAACCATCTGGGTACCAATCCGCAGTGTCCTCAAATTTTATTGAATTGGATGAAAAACAGTAGGAGTTATGACCGTCAAATAGTTTTGTCTAATGAAAAATCAACACAGAAATAAATCTGTTTCTTGATGCCTGAAATGCAGAAGGGAGTGCAAGTTTATACACTGAGGATTCTTTTTTACTTCGATTCCTACATAAATATAATGTTTGTCTAAATTGGGTAGTGTGAAAGATTCTTTTACTTCACAGACTGCGTGATTCTCACGAACTCTATAAGTTATGATTTTTTTTAAATTTATATTTCATGGTTCTATCATAGAACTGTATTTTCACAAAAAAAAAAAAAAAAAAAAAAAAAAAAGAGAAATCACAGATTCTAGTATTTCATTGAATAAACATTCATGAAATAAGTATATTTTTTTAAAAATTAGGTTCATTTAACTATTCAGTTCAGAAGTAAAGGCAACTGGTTCTATTTTTGGTTAGAAGTACATCAACTGTTGGTGTAAACTTGGCACTTGAGGTTAAAATAGTAATTATATCCGTCTTATCAAAATGAAGAAATATTGTAATAACAGCAGTGACATTCATAAGGTTGTTGATACATATGAACCGATGGACATATCTTGAAAAACTAAAATCACAATGAGCAAAACCTATACTGTAAATATGTAGAGAGTCTAACAAAATATATGATTTCTCTTATAAATGACGTACACGCATTTTTATATAGATCACAAAGACTTATTAAAAATCTTTAGTCAATAATAGACCGTTGGCATGAGATTCATTCCTCAAACTGGCATTAAAGATCTACAAAAGATTTAAAATGATAGATGATAAACTAGATTGAAAAGACATATCTTTTTTTAAATTACCCATATACTTAACCTAGAAATACTGTTTAAAACAGAAAACAATAATATAAAAGGAAAAAAAAATTAAAACTATTTAATTTTTTCGGGGGGCTCCTGGAGCGCAATGGCAAGAACCTTCAGATACGTGTTTATTATTTTTCGAACTATCTCAAAAAAAAAAAAATTCATTCCCATGGATGATCCACGTCTGTAACATTAATCATTAAAGCAGGTTTTATGAAATTGTGCAATATTTTGAAGGTTATAGTATAGTGATTGGAATCGATTCCAACAATAGATTTCAATGGAGCTGTGATCAGCTCACTAATTAGAGGGAAATAATTTTATTTAAAAAAATCTGGTGCGCGAAACACACAACTTTCACTTACCGCTTAACTTTGAATAGAAATTATTTTCAGACCATATTGGGCTATTATAAAATTTTTGAATTGCATTTTTAACCGAGCAAAAGCTAAAAAATTACAGATAATAAATCATAAATACCATTAAAATAACAAAAATCCTATTTATTATATTACCGGTTGATTATGGAATGCACTATCCGTTGATTATGGATTGTACGACTATAAGTTATTAAACTGTTATTTTCCATCGCAAAGTTTATTAAAACGGAATTAAGAGATCTGCATTGTCTGTCATAGACAGGTCAAAAGTTGTCACACTGATTGTAAGTGGAAACTGTTGGGATATCGCAAAGGGAAAATTCATCCAATTATTCATTCATTTAATTCTCAAAAAGGTTACATAATGATTTTTCAGAATAAACGGACGGTAGATACCTAATTTAAATTTAAATATAATATCAGATCTATAGTCACTAAACTACAGTAAATGTATTTAAGGTTATAAACATATGCTTTATACATCCATAAAATGATTTTATATTTTACTTCTTCTATCACACAACTACAATGAAATAGTTTTTTGAACAATGTCATTGCCTTGATTTGGTGGATTTTAAATACTTTTTCAAACTTCAAAATATTTTAAGAGTTTACATTTAGTAAGTAAATTTCATTGAAAACATGTGATTTTCGTTAAATAATATTAGTTTTAAATAAAAATTGTATTTATATTTTTTTGCCACTCTCCGTTACCTTCTACAACTTCCTATATTAGATATTGTTTTCTTTCTAAAATTCTCCGCTTTCCAACGATATATTATACATGTACATTCTGACCGGTATTTCCGGAGATTCATTTTCGATCTGGATAAGCCTTTTTATTTTTTTCTCCTTTATTAACTTATCACATTCTTTCAAAAGTTATATTTAGCATTTTTTTGTAGCTCTGAATAATGTGAGATGATTAACTTTTTAAAATAAACCATATTAAAGGTACATTAGAGGAAGACGTATATGAACATTGGGCATTTAAGCCGTTTAAAGTTACATCAATAAGGATAAGACTTAATTGATATTAAAGACCACTTAATTATACAATGATACATCGAGTTTAATCAATATCGTTGTAGACGTTTTTGAGAAAATTGTTGACAATGTGTTTCAGATATAAAGTGGCACTTCCGGTTAGCCGATTTTAAGGGAAAAGTTGCTGTAATATCTAAGGCATATACGTATTCTAAATACGTAATATCAGTTTCCTAAGACTTTTTGTTTTTGAGCTAAACTGCTAACATACACACACAGACCATTTTTCGGGACTTGGTTATTTGGACTCAGGGTACCCCAAAACGTGTATTTCCGTTGAAAACTCAGATTCAAAAATTTTCCCGATCGCCATACTATATATTACATATATACGTAAGTGAAAGTAAAAATGGGAAGTGTAATCTAATTTAGTACATATTTACGTAAAGTATTATTTTAAGCAATATAGCTCACATTTATATGGAATGTACCTACAAATGAATGGTCCTTTCAAAGGATTACTTTGAAAGGAAGAAGATAAAAGAATATTTGTAGAAAAAAGAATCGACTTCCTTATCACCGATAACTAAATTTTTAAACAATTAAATTTTCCTCTCAAAAAGCATAAAACTTACATTATAACATTTGTTTATGCAATTCATATTACTTACTTACTTCCGAGGCTCTACAGCCCTTATACTGCCTTGGCCTCCACAACGCCTCTCCAGTCCTCTCTATTAGCGGCCCGGATTCTTCATTCTCCAATTCCCATCTTCTGCAAATCGTCCTCCACATCTTCAATCCATCGAAGTCTGGGCCTTCCTGTCCTTATTTTGCCTCCTGGTTTACCATATAATAGTCTTTTTGGGTATTGATCTTCACCTATCCTTTCTACGTGCCCAAGCCATCTTCACATATTTGTCTTGAAATACATATTTGTCTTCCTTAATGTTGGAAAATTTGGGTATGTTCCGGACATACCCGGACATATTTCATTTATATAAATATCATTGGGAGGTAAAATATCCATGTAGCATGTTCATCATATGATTCTATTTTTATCCACGATCAAATTAAAATTTTAAGAAATTCTGTTAATTTTTAATTGCAGTATTTTATAATAATTAACCTATCATATTAAGTAATATTTAATTAGGTTATTATGTAATTAAAACCTTGCAAAGGTGAGAGGGTGACGGTTATTACTTTCACTTACCTATACGTATTTATAGGTAATATATACCTATTAGAATTTACAAAGTTTGAAACTTATTACGATTGTAAAAAAAATTGAATTTCAGTTTTCAACGAAAATACACGTTCTACGGTCCCGTGAGCCCAATTTTCTAACCTAGTCTCACAAAACGGTTTGTGTATGTATTTGTAAACATCCTATATCAGAATAGAAAGGTCTGCCTGGAATGTTATAACTATTTTTCATAAAAACTACTTACCGAAAGTTTAACTTTATAAGATCTAATAAACACTTTCTTACAATTTTCTGAAAATCAGCCATAATTATTCTGATTAAATTTGTTATATTGATGTACAATTAAACGCTGGTTGATTTCCACGGTGAAATAGTCTTAAAGAACTTCAGTCTTGAGTCCTAAATGGCTTCCTCCAAAGAACCTTTAATTTGTTTTAGTTTGAAATAATTAAAAGTATCTAATTGCTAGTAGTTATAAAAACGGCTAAATATAAAATATGACCGAACTTAATAATTAATTAAAGGAGAAATATTTTTCCATATGGAAAAATACCATTAGAAAAAATGTCCGGAAATAAATTTGCTGAAATAACAGTAGCATTAGGTACGATTAAAAAATTGATTAATGGCTAAGAATTTTATAAAAAATAATATTTAATAAAGATGTAGAAGATGGTGAAGAGTGACTAAAAGCAAATTAATAATAATTTATATATTTTCCATTAAATAATATTTAACTAGCCCATGCGAATAATTCGCAGAATATACTGGTGAATGATCAAATGAAAAATTATTATGAAAATAAAATAATGCAACGTATCATATGATGAAAAAATCAATTCTTATTCTATTCTAATCGACAAAGGAACAAAAATTAATTTAAACTTCATTATTGTTTAGAATCAACTTGTTTACAAATTTCAATAAGCTGTAACTTTGCTAATAATTACCTGATTTCTATGACTTTTTTTCGTTAAGTAGGAAATTTAGTCTTCTTTTAAATAACTATGAGTGTATTCTTTTTGAGTAATTCGCAAATAAAGTTTCTTTTCCTTCGTAACTTTTTTTCCTGAAATTTCGGATGGAAGTGGCTATTTTCCAACCTTTAGAAGAAGAAAACGTTAAAAACGTCAATCTTGGAATTTGATGAAGAATTAACGAAGATATAGCGTACCGACAAAAAAACACCTTTGATAAATAATATAAACTCCTCTCTCGATCAAAGGTTCCTCAAGTCGACGATATGAGACAGATATCCCCATGGCAGCACTATAATTAACGTGAGGTTGTGTGACTGCGAACCCTTTACCTTGCATTATCTCGAAAATGGTAAAATTTTTTAGCTTGAGCCCGATAGTTCCGAAGGTGTCAAATCAAAATCTTCAAAACTCAATTTGTCCCGCATCGATCCACCGACTTACCATTGTTCCAGTATAGAAGCTAAGCTAAATGTTTATATCGACTTAATTTATTTTAGATAGAAAAATGAAAGCGGAGGGTACGATTCATTAACCTCCCGTGAAATTCTGAATCCAACGGTATCCCAATTCATGACATTTGAGCATGACAGGAGCTTATATTTGATACAAAACCGATTTCGAGCCTTACTCTAATAATATATGTGGCGATGGAGATGGTTGAAAAAAACAATAATCTATGATGCACCACATTGCAATTGTATAAAACACTTTTTTATTGTACGTTTGTGCACTCTGTTAAAAATATTTCAAATATACATGATAAATGTACCAGTAATAGACACTGTTCAGATGATGGACAATTTTCAACTCGTTAATAGGTAATAAACTTTATACGTCCAAAAGATACGAGTATATTTGAAGCTAGAACACTTAAGAGGGTGATGCGTGAACCTCAAGTGGTATCATGCCACCACAGGCGATAGGAAAATTTTTAAAGTTTATTTTTTAATGGAGCAATGCTAGATCTTTGTTTCAGTTTGAAATATTTATTTATTCATCGGTAGTTCGATATTTCCTTTTAACTATATAGAGAATTTATTTCGATTTTTTAAAATTACATATATACAAACACACACACACACACACATATATATATATATATATATATATATATATATATATATATATATATACCATTGACTCCAAAACTTGGGTATCCAATACTAGTGAAAAATACGCTATCAGAATTTCCTAAATTGTTGTAAAATGAATAATAAATTAATTGACTGTATAAGGAAGACGAAATTGGCAAAAGTCTAAATTTGCTGTCAATTAAACCTATTTGCAAAGATCCACCGTCAGAACTAAAATTGTGGTTCACATAAATGTAGAAAATGCCTCTCAAATGAAAAGTGTCGATTAACGGTACATTTGCACTGTACAAACACATGTAGGAAAAACAAAACGTATCATTATATAAACTTTAATGACTTTAATTTAATCTAATAACATAAGACCCGATAATATATTTGAATTTAATTAACTCTATTTTAAAATACCTACATTAATTTCGGCCAAAGTAGGGTGGTAATTAAAATTGTATGATGCGCGTGCGAGGTCTTCACTATTGTGTTATTTTAAGAAAGTATATCTATATTAAAATTTTCAATAAACATTATGATAGAAGATAGTTATGAAACATTTGAAATTTATATAATAATCAAAAGAATGATACATGTAATTGAGAATTTTCGTTCCCATCTTTAAAAATTTTTAATTGTACGGATTTAATTTTTATATTCCTTGTTAATAATAAAATAAAACAATAATAAATAAAACCAAAATTAATTAATTTATAAGATAACCATATTTAATGTGGATATGCATACCTTTTCATTAGTACGTAAAAACCTGGCTATTGAGTTCCTAATTCTTATCACACAAAGTACCGAGACCATGCAGTTAAAGTAACTTTGACGTCTCCATAAGCCAATAAAAAGAACTTGAAAGTGAAATTGAAATACTTAAATTAAATACGTTATATCATTTAAAAAAGTGAAAGAACTACCAAGAGCTTGAAAATAAGGTATGAAGTACTTGATAAGCAGTGTTGCCACACTACTTTAAAAATTTTAATAATGTAAACAAGATAAAAAAATTTATTGCAATAATCTAACTCGCGATAGTATTAAAATATATCAGTCATTCAATTGAACATCGTGTTTTCATAGTTAATTTTTGAAGAGTGGGTCTTAATTGAAATAATACATTTTACAGTCAACTCCAAGAGGCGATTTTGATAAGCGAAACAAGGAAGCAAGTAGAACGAACAATCAATAAAAAATGTAAATATTTCTTTACTTAATTTTAAATCTGGTTCAATCAAGGTAATTTGATGTATATGTTTAATGATCAAACGAAAAGTAAATAGAAACGGCTAACTATGGGATTGGATAGATGTGGTGTTATAAATTTTGTAAATAAAAAAGATACACGAACCCTTTGGATGTGTGTAATAATATTGTTTATCAAATTTAAAATGTATATATTGTTTATACTTAACATTAAAGTATTAAGTTAAACCCGATATTGTCGGTTTTTAAAGTTTTTTGGAGGGAAGGGGGCTGCATTAATCCGCCCAGAAGACAAATGGTATACATAACCCACTGAATTATGCTATGATTAAATATAAATTATGAGTGATGATTAAAAATAAATTATCTGTCACTAATTTTCTCTCTATAATGATTCTAGATATATTTTTCTAACATGATTCAACATAGTAATGAACTAATAATTTTTAAGTTTTACCTCGAAAACGATATATTTTAATGTTTGAAATTTCTATCTAGAAGGGTATAGACCATTCTCCTTATCCAATTTTGTAGAATATAAAATTTAATTCCGTAACAGTAATGCCCAGCTGAAATATTTTTTTAGACATAGTACCCCTCCCACTAGGCAACAGTTTCAATGAATCAAGCACAATCTTCTATCATACAAACTTCAATTACTGCAAATGTATGTAAAGAATTTTTGTTACTTTTTAAAATGCATTTTGGTAATTCAAAAGAATAATCTTTTCAAAAAGCAATAATTGAGATGATTATAGGAAAACCTTAATATAACTACTGGAAATTTTTTTTTAAAGTTTGTTCTTCTTATCACATTGATTAGACTTAACTATCTATCACATCATTCCAAGGTTTTTTGAGGTATAAGTTCCATCAACTCATTTTGAAACCTTAATATTTATATATATATCAATAAATAGCTATAACAAATAGTTTCCCCTTACCTAGGCAAAAAGCTTTCTGCCATGTTCCAAATTTCATAATAAACTGAAAATAATCAGAAATTAGAGGAGCTGAGCCCAGTTGTGAAAGCTACTAGTGAACAACTAACTACCTGTGAAAAGCTGCCACCTCCCACTTCTTTAACCCTTTATCAATTCCATCTCCACACACCACTTCTACCATTTAATCAATTGTTTGCTCATGAATTTTATGAAGATTGATATATTAATTGATTAAATATATTACTTTATAATTTTAATGGATTTTCTACTAAAGGAATAAGGTAAATTAATGATGGCAGAAGAAAAATTAAATCTTTTAAAAATATTTTATTTAAATTGCTACAATGGAAAATTATATAAGTGTTCTTAACATAAAATATAAGCTATAAAAAACATTCTCACCAAGAATTCACATTACTTCATGCGAAATTCGTATTTGTAATAGATCTTAAATATGAAAATAACTTACTTTGAAAAAGGATAATACTATGAACTCAAATAAATTGTGCTCAAATCATACCTTATGAAAAGAAGCATTCCAGACAATTTAAAATTGTTAAATTGTGTTGTATTTACATAATCTTTAAATCGATTTTTGAGAAAATACTTCAAAAGTTTAATCTTTGCAAATTTGTATAGTTTGCTCCCCAAAATACAGAACGAAATGAAAGTTAGGTATTTTTAGTTATTTTATAATAATTGTGAAAGAGGTTAGCTTCACTCAAATCAAATTGAACTATTTACTTAAATAGCAATAATAGAAAATCTACCCCATCTTCACAGTACCTAATCATATTTTCATTAATTAATGTTTATTTTAATTCAAGTAATGTAATAGTACAATATCAAACAGTTTTAAAAGTGCACTAGTAGTAACTTGACCAGCTAGTAAAGACTTTCCACTATTTTGCTCTATTCCTGTTTCCACTCATCCACAGAGCTCAGGCTTTGGGGTAAGTGACCAAGAAATACTTGAATCAATCACACGAAATGTCACTTTTAGAAGGCAATATTAAAATAAAATATAAACATACAAAAACACAAATTAATTATTTTAGCAACTAGAACAAAACTTGATGCATGGAACAAAAAACTTACATGATTATTCAATTTTTGATTTGTAATATTTTCATACATAGTAGTCACATAACAAAGTTTTAAATCGATATTATTCATTTTTCAACCTTCAAAATCATAGACTATTTTCTAAAAATATTAAAAACAGAAAAACGAATACAAAACGCTTACCAAGGAAAATTTTCAAATTCAGATTACGAAGGGAGGATACAGAAAAAGTTTAAAGGAGATGTAGGGAAGCTTTAATCTAATTAATTATATTATGAATAATATTGTTCTGAAAAATTTACATTTCATGTAAATTAACCAGATACTATTTTCAAGTGCTTCATCATTTCATTAATCTAAAATTATTGTATAGCCAATTATTAAGAGAAATGTATTTATTTATTCAAAAAGAAATGCGTACTTATTTATATTTAAAAGTCTACAAAACTTAAATTTATCATAAAAATGATTAATTTTTTTATCCAAGACAATTCCATAGAACATTTATGATGTAGTATTCTTCAATTTTAATTAAAACCTCAACTGAAGGATTCGAGTGAATAGCGGTATATGTTACTTCTAAGAAAAAAATTATAAATGTATGTTATGCTAAACAGAGCTCAACTGTTGTGGAATGGTTATAAGAAAAATACATATTAACTGTTATTCGGTCAAATCCTTCAATTGTTCTAAACATAAAAAAATATTGTTTCTTCATTAATTAAAGATGAATATATCGTTGGTTCATTGTAAAAAGTCATGAAGTGACATTTCATAAAATTCAATCACCATGTACTAAGATATATTTTCCCTCTGTTAAATTAGAAAATCGCACACTAATGGTAATTATATTTGATATATAAAAGGGTTTGTGTCATATTGATGCACTTACTTGTATGCACGTACTGTATTTTTGAAAAGATAAGGAGGTGGAAATTTAAAAATGTACATATAATTTTAAGTCTATCAAAAATATAAATAGTGACTTTTTGCAAAAAACCGACGAAATGACATATATCTAATTTGTAGTTTCAAATGCTTATTAAAATTTAAATGTTGACATGATGTATAAATAATTAAAAATCATACCACAACATAAATAGAGCTTCAAACAGAAATAAATAAACATACCAACTAAAAAAGTAAAAAAAAAAAAAAAATAATAATACCACTACATGTATTTTTTGAGGATGATAAAATACAACAGTCTTCATTTATCATATTTTAGAATATTATTTATTCTGGAAGTTGTTGAAGAAAAAATAATATAATTAATTATCATAAAATATTTATCTTTTTTTAACTTGTTATTAACAGTATCAACTTTTTTATAAAACGGAAAACAGATTTTACCATGTATAAGTGTAAACTATGTACACACATATACATAACATGTGAAAACTACAAACACAAATATTCATAATATATGTGTACCATATAAACACATATACATATAAACTATTTGAGTGATATATAGATACAAAGTAGAATATGTTTCTTCTTAAATTACATCAGGTAGAGGCCACCTTCCTCTTCCTCAGCATCCTCATTTTCAGATTCAAATGTGTTATCAGGAATGTCATAAAGACGAATAAGAGGCTGGAAACAATATATGCTTGTTAATCACTTAATAAGACTTGCAAGAATAAAGTAATAAAATATTACAAAGTAATTCCATTTACTTTACTAACAATTAATAAGATAAATACAACCATTACATCATAAATAATGAACATGAATGCATCTGAATAAGTTAGCCTCAACATAAATAGCAAAAACTCCTTATTAATCATTTTGTGACAATTTTAAACATGGAGATTTACAATTTCTAACTTTAGAGCAACAGAATTAAATAAACACACCATATGTTTTGGTTGGATAAACAAGTGATTTGCTTAAATAAAATTATATGAAAAATAACAAATAAATGATGAACATCATGATTTTTTTTTAAACGTTAGAGAACAAATCTGGTGTGTTCACTTACACGACTTTCCTAGCTATTTCAGAAAAGTTTTTATATCTTTAAATATGTCCACTAAGAAACAAAAAAAAAAATTAATTAGATTTATTTTTCTGAAAATTGATCAAAGAGAAGATTTGAATACAATTTCTTTGATAAACTAAAGCAATGTAAACCGGCTTGTGGAAGATCAGCCTAAAAAATTCAATACCCTCTGATATTGCTAATCAAAAACTTTTTTACCTTAGTCCAATTTTGTCAAACAATAATTTCTGTTAAAAGTCGGGAGGAAAGTGAAATTTGTGTGATGCGGGAAACAGATTTTCTTACTTTCACTTAGTCATCTTTATTCTCTCATTCACAGCTTTCTGACATCATAATATGAATCCATAATCTTACATATGAAATTGAATAGCTGTGACTTCGTTTATAATTATCCGAAATAAACAATTTTTATATAGTTTCGTAGGGAATTTCATTACCTTTCAAAAAAATAGGCTAAACAGTGTTTTTCAGTGTGACTCAGAGGGCTCCGAAATGTATAGATCCTTCGAAAACCACATGTCAGAAATTTGACCCGATCGCAATACTTTCCTTACCTAGTATAGGTAAGAAAGTAATAATTTAAAACATGTTTAGAAAATAGAATACGCTGTATCATCACTAATACTGGCTCAATTCCTTGAATGAATCTTTTTGCTCTCAATTTTTTTTTTTGTTTTGTAGGTAATTTAATTATCTTTCAAAAGTTTTTATATACATTTTACCGTAGAATACATACTTAGCGAGTTAGGCCCTAAAACATTTTTCTTTTCTTTATAACTTTTTTTCCTGAAATTTCTCAAGAATTTATAGTATATGTACAAAAATTGAAAGGACATTAGTTAGAAGATTATAGGAAGGTTTCATAAAAGTTGTTTAGTATCAAGAGCCGTTTTAGCACTAGAATCTAGAGAAAAATATGTTTTCATGTTGCGCAGGGAGCACCCAATTTATGTCACAGGCATCAATAGTCAAAACCTTACAAAATAAAAAAAAACCAGTACACTAGTTCCCGAGATAATCTTGGCATAAACAGACCGACAGACCAATGGTTGAAAATATGTTTTTTCAGACTCAGGGGCATCTGAAACGTATAGATTCATCGAAAACCGCATGTTGGAAATTTGACCCGATCGCAATACCTTATAAATTGAAAGAAGAGAGGGGCTGGGAGTTGCAATTCAGGTGTTACCAATGTTATTAATAACTTAATAATAAATACCTTGTTTGGATCTTTCATGATTAAATATTTTCCGTCCCTCTGTTTCATGCATATATCAATAATACACCTCAGTATTCCCCAGGCATTATCCATATTTAGCTTAATCTGTGTAGCAAATTCAGCAGGCTTGTATTGTTGAGTGCCCAAGATGACATGTTTAGAAGAATCTCTAACATGAACTCGGGAAACATAACTGAAAAACAAAAATATTTTCATTACTATCAAGAAATAAGAAAAAATCAAAAGGTAAATAACTGTCCAATCTTTCCGACATAAGAATTTTATTGCTTTTTAAATTTAAGGTTAAAACAGAAACAATAGGGGTATTCATCCAACCAGAGTTAAGTATGTTAAAGTTGTATGCTAAATATAGCTAATTGCAAATTTAACTTAAGCAGAGTTTGGGGTCTGGTAAAACTTCCACTTATTTCATAAGAGTGTGGGAAATGTTGTAATGGGGTTTTTATTTTGTGTTTCTGTTTCTGTTTTAAGTTAAAGGAATGTAAAAAAAAAAGAATACAGATGAAATACGAGGAAAATAAGATTAATGAGAACAAAGAGGGGATGGGGTGGACAAATGGGCTAAAGCATGTGCACAGCACCACGAGTTGCCCAGCAACCAGATAACCGAAATAATGAGAGATTATAAAAAAGTACGAGTTCCGGTGACAGAGAGGATGTCAAATTTTCTTCCCTCGCCTCGCAGCCCGGGAAAACCCCATATAGCCTAAAAAGTGAGGTAGAGAAAAACAAAAAAATGAGAAAAAAAAAATTTCCTCTTATCCATAAGTTCGGAAAATCAGATGAGGTTTAAAGTGAATAATTTTCTTTTCTTTTTCTCATAAACTGGCAACTTTAGGGTTGCCATAATTTAGATGATCACCGGTATTACCAATAAAAGTAAAATAAGTTAATTTTAAAGGGAAACATAAATTATCGCGAGTCAGAGTTAATAACATTTTAACAGGTTATCACAGAGGGGAGCGTTATAGCACACAAGATTCATACTTGTTAAGTGCAATGTTACATTAAGCATTTATCAAAATTATGTGCTAATGTTTTTAATCTGAAAAGCAAAATCAATAGAATGCTATATTATCATTATTTTCTAAATCATACATTTTTTTTTTTTTTTTTTTTTTAATAAAACAGAGTAACAGATAAAAAAAAAACTGTAACCACTACAGCTCTTGAAGGGTCTTGGGTTCAGTACTAAGTAAGAAAGTACTGTTTCTTGACCAACGGTAATACGAGAACGTAATATGGTCAGCATACAACAGAATAAATATATTACCTCTTGCAGCCACGTTCAAACCAGGCCTGAGAGTTGGGAGTCAAGGGCCTCAGCTATTCAGCTGCCCCACTGCATAATATTGCCCACACAATAATATATATGCTCTAAATTCATTTACATGAAAGTAATAAATATTATTTCTTTATCAGGGTCAGATTGAAATTTTTGTTAACCAATAATTTATTATTTCGAAACATTTGAATTTTATTCAAACACAAAATTTCAAAAGCAACAAATTCTGGTACTTTTAAATTTGAATTATAAATTCAAATAGTGGGTCAAATTAAAAAAAAAAGTAAAATATTCTTTAAAAATTTGATGTATCTAACTAATGTAAAACAAATTTTTAACATAAATCTTAGGTTCTTAACAAAAGGCACATAATTTTATTAATATATCTAATATTAATCAAACAAAGAATAAAATAAAGACTTGTCTATGTGAGAACAACAGATAACAGGAATAACAATAATATCTGTATAGAGAACTAACTATAAGCACTTTCTTAGGAATACAGATAGAAATATTAATATAAAATTAATACCCAAATTTGATTTGGTCTGATCCAGCCAAAATTGCTTGTACTGTCCACTTAGCAAGCTTGCAAGCATTGTTTCTAAGTTCATTTGCCAACACAGCTCCACGCTGTATATCCAGTTTTTGCCTCCATTCAACGCCTCCAGACAGCTAAATACATATTGACTATAATTAATTTCATTTTAAATGTTAAAAGTTAAATTAATGAATACTAGAATGAGATTTAAGAAGACCTAAAATCATTATCACACCAAAGCACTCAAAGTATCCACATCAAACAAGTTTTAAGCCTAAGAAGTCATTTGATATTAAGTAGAAAACTCTTAAAATTTGTTTCATATTTATTACATAATTAAAATGGTTACATGTAAATGATTAATCAATTTCATTCAGTATTTACAATAGATAATAGAATATTTATGCAATAAGTGATAAGTATGTTAAACCTCGTCGATAATTTTAACTAACATTTGTGTGTTAAATGTGGCTGCTAGCACATTCCACTTTATCAAACTAGAACTTGCTGTAAATGTTCTTATTTTTACTGAGGACTAATTTTTTTCGTATTTGTAATTTCAACAATAAAATTTCTAAGCAATAAAGTTTATGGACTTCTGAAGATTTTTCATTCAGACGATTTTTTAAAAACTGTTTAATTTAATTTTTAAGGTTAAATTATCAACATATATTTTTGACATTTACATAAATAGTATAATAATATCCATTTCATAAATAGTTCATAGCACCAATTTATAAAACGAGGTACAGCATTGTTTATAAATGGCAGAGAAAAATCCTTTTGTTAACCAAATTAAAATTCTTTGTTATTTACATCAAAAAGTTTTCCATGTAAAATATTCAATAGGAAAACCCTTTAGGAGTTATTAATGAAAACCAAAAAATGTCCAACCAAAAAATTTAGGTTTTTGATACTGCCAATGTTCTCCTGAAGTAGTTCATGTTGGAATTTTTGTTTTTTACATGTTTGCACCTATGTATATTTTTTGTGTACTAATTTTGAAAAATTATACCCCATTTTGTGCAACATAACTCCCATTTTGGCTTTGGAATGGTGGACAACGTTGATTTTAAAATAACATACACCTTCATAGTTCATATTCAAACCTTTTGTTAAGAGTACCCTTCTCTTTTTAGGTCCCATCTCAAGGTTTTGATCTATTTTTAGTGTTGACGCCAACATGTGTAGTTTTATTGTTTGTTTTTGCCATGTCGTAGTAGGGGGGGGGAGGGTCAATTTTGTTTTGGTTGTGAATGGCATGTGCTATGTATTTTATTTATGTTTTTCTTTTTGTCATTAAATAAAAAATATGTTTATTATATGTGGGCCTTATTTATATATATGTATAATTACATTAAATATTATATGTAGAACCTATTAAATATTTCATACACGAAAACGTAACAGCGACGATGTTTTCGGCCAGTTCCGGGTCAGCCCACCTCTATTCGTATCACTTAATACCAGAGGTAAAAAGAAAACATTGGCAAGGCAGTATGGCTGCTGGCAGCAATGGGTGTGGAACTGACCATATGATGTTCTCCGTCCCGTCACAATGTACCTGGCAAACTCAATGGTTTCATCTCACCAGGTTTTGACGGCGACTTCCCGCCTCTGGGACATTATCCTGCAGGAGAACTCTCGTCAGCTGCAAGACGTAATATGGGCCAGCTGGAGGTGAATTTGTGTATTTTAATTTAGAAGAGCTTTAAGGTGAGTGACACCCCTCTAAAACATTAATGACCTCACGGGTCTCAGATGTTATCATCAGGAAATAAAAACAGTATTTTATCAATTAAACACTTTTACAGTGAGGCTGAACTCTGTCGTATATACTGCTTCATACAATGCTCCTCAGAGCACTTAATAGTGTAAGGGATAGTATCTTATTTTACAATACTAAATTGTCAGGTTCAGTACCGGATTTTCATCATTCTCTTTTGTTTTATATTAAATATTATAATTTTAGATTTATATAAATATAAATTATGGCCATGTATAATATAATTTTAAAACAATTAAATTAACATCTGGGTTAATTGCATTTCTCGTTAAATAATAATAATTAATTATTTTAATAACAAAACAGCCCCAGAACATTGTAAATTTAATTCATCAGTTTGAGGTTGTTTTCCTTTTGTTTAATGTTTATAGTAATATTTTATTTCTCTCATCCATTATTATTTTGTATCAAGAGAAATAGTATTAATTTATTCTTTCATTTATTAATTTGTTATCATGATTATTTCATTTATTATTTTCAATATATTTATATTTTCTGCTATTCCGTTTTTCATACATTTATCCTCAATGGATTTCCTTTTAATAATTTGTAAAGGTTTAAAATTAAATTAATTAATAAATAAATAACCAATGCCTATGGAATTGATAGAGCATATTTGGTGGTTCATTTTTGAACGCCCGCTGCCTTCACATTTTGACGCCATGGGCTACGACACGGCAAAAACAAACAATAAAACTACACATGTTGGCGTCAACATTTAGAGAATTTAAATAAAGGTCATGGTAAAATTTGTGATGTATTGGATTTAAATAAAAATAAGAATCCTAGAAGAACCAAAAAATATGTTTCGATTTTTAAAAACCAATTATGAAAAGTTTCTAAGTTACTATTACAGGATATAACGTTAACATTCATGTTTGACTTTCAATGGTTTTGAACATCAATATTTTGTCATCACAAACCATGGCCTGGGTAATGTGAACTGCAAGCCAAAAAGTTTGGAGACAACAGTAGTCCTCGATGTAATTTTTAAACTTAACCAAAATATGAGCTAAAAATCAACCATGCATTCCTTGTCTTAACTTAACTTAGCTTTATAACAATTAGAGCTATTACCTTGGAGTCCCATTCATTAAGTGCCTTGATGGTGAGGAACTGAGCGTCACCAGAAGGAACAGCCAATGCAGCATCATGTTCACACCTAGCAACTAAAGTAATGCCATTGTCTAAGTCCCACTTTCTGTAACGGTAGGCCACTGAAGCTTCTTCGCCCTCCTCTGGTGATGTGATAAATGGATTAGATTCATCAAACTTATAGCGTGGTTCTCCCTATAAGAAGACAATAAGAATTAGATCAAGGATATAATGCTAAGGGTTACTACTCAACAATTTTTCCAAGCCAAAAACATAACATTAAAAAAAATTTACTTTACCCCCTAGAAAAACGTCTGCCAAGTAAGGTCAGTATAGCTTCCTCACCATTTTCATTGGCTAAAAAATATCTGTCTAAAATTTTTTGTAAGAGAATAAAATCTCTGGGAGAAACTGCCGGAAATTCAGTAATTCCTCAACATATACAGGTTTGATATCCACGAGTTTTGTTCATCAGTGAATACTAAAATGCGAAAGAGTGCCGCATTTGCAGATTGCATATTTGACGATATGTGATTAAAAAAAAATTCCAGTGCATACTGAACATGCATATCACAACTGTTAGCGCAAAAGGTCGTATGTAAAAATTGAGTGTCTTACAGGAGAGCATAAAAACTAATTGTTTCTTTACCTTGGTCTGTAGTGTGGAGGTGTGTGTAGTGTGCTGTAATCTGTGTATATGTATGAATATCAGTGTACTATTCCCCCGATCTCGAGGGCCAGTGGCTATCTGCGGCACTACGACCGGGCAATGGTGTCACCACCTGCATACGCCTTGATGGCTACATTAGCGAAAGATTGCAAGAAGCCATTGCTAAGATTAAACTACGCAAGGCAGTAGGAATTGACAAAACTACTTCTGAAATGATCAAATACATGAGATATAAAGGACAGGAAATGTTCCTCTATCTCCTGAATCTCATTTGGAAAAAAAAGAAAATTCCTAAAGATTGAGAGATTTCAGTGATCGTGCCCATCCATAAGAAAGGAGATAATGGAGAGTGTGGCAACCACCAGGGAATTTCACTTCTCAGTGTACTCTAGAATTCTCGAGGCAAGAATAAGAAGAGTGGTTGATAGTCAGCTCGGAGAAGAACAGTAGGGGATCAGGGAATAGCGAAACACGCAGGATCTCATATTTACATGGCGACAAATAGTGGAGAAGACCGTCGAACTTTAGGATAAAGAACTTTCTATTTGCTTTGTGGACCTCCAAAAAGCTTTCGACAGAGTCCAAAGAGAAGCCTTAGATCGGACACTGTCTGAAAGAGGAATCGATCGAGGGTCAACTTTGGCCGTGATGAATCTCTATAACAAGATTAGAAATTTCGTTAGGACTATGAACCACATATCATAGGAATTCGAGACGAATCTAGCTATCTGCCAAGATTGTAGTCTGAGTCCATTACTTTTCATAATAGTCTTAGATCAGGCGCTAAGAAAAGCTAAAGTTTGAATGCGACCGTTCTAGTTACAGTACAGAAATCTACAACCTACCAAATTCTCCATGTTAGAATTCGCAGATGACCTAGTCTTGCTGTCCTCTAACAACCAAGACCTCCAATATAATATAAATATTCTCCAGGAAGAAACAGCCATAATAAATATGACAATCAACCCAGAAAAATCAAAATGTATGCGAATAGGAAAGAAACCTAGTAGAATAATGAGTCATAAAAGTAAATGAAGAAAGATTAGAGCAGATCGATAATTTTAAATATCTAGGTACTCATCTCAACAAAAATGGCTACATTGATGAGGAAGTGTCTCAGAGATTCGATACACTGTAAGAGTGCTCTTTTTGCTTAGGAGGGGATTCCTGGGTAAAAGAGGAGTGACAAAGAAGATAAAAATGACGGTCTATAAATCAACGTTCTTCCCTATTCTTTCTCACTCTTCCGAATCATGGACGTTCATCTCGAAGCACAGGAGTCAAATCCAGTCCATGGAAATGCAATATCTACGTAAAGTGGAAGGAAAGGTTTGAAGAGATAGGATAAGGAACTGCACCATACGGACTGGCCTTGACCTCAAGTCAGCCGAGCTCATCCTAGAGGAGCATAAGCTAAGTTAGTTCGGACACCTCCTTAGAATGGATCAAGAAAGAACAGCCAGGAAGACATATGGGACTTATGTGGAAGGAAGGAGGCCAAGAGGAAGGCCGTACATATCCTGGGAGGAGAGTGTTAGAGAGGAGTTCAGACGGCGAGGTATGGATTGGAGTAGGAGAAAAGAGCTGGCCCAAGAGCGAGACACCTACTCCAGACTCTATAAATTGTAACCCGGTACATTGCGGATAAGGATTCTGGTGATGATGATGAAGGAGGAAATTGAAACTACAGTGAGCTGGTTGAGCTTCAATAGAAATAAACACTATCACAAGTAAGACTTTTTTTTTTTTTACAAACTCACGAGTAACAATTAATTTAAATTTACTTAAAATTACACAAAATCTAAGTAACGGCAGTAAGTTTAAATATTTGGAATATTGGGCCAGGAATATTTGGAATCAGCAAACAATACATTATCGATTAACTTTTTGAATAAAACCTAAAATTGTATAACCCCATAAAAATATTGTCTTAACCTAACTCCCACTCCATTTAATTATTATGTTAATTTTAATTATTAAATGAAATTCAATTAAATAAATACTAGGTGATTTCTCCAAATTTCTTCCAAGTTTGGGTCAAATAGAACTCTCAGATTTCAAACTATAGGCATGCCAAATAATACATATCAGGAAGCAGAAGTATTTTTTTTGGAGTTGTGGATATAATTTCATAGAACTCATAAATACTTGATTATCTGTTTACCAATCCCTAATTTCCCTGCAAATTTGAGCCAAATTGAATGTGCGGTTTTAGAGATATAGACCTATCAAGGAAAACACATTTGTGCATATATAAGAGAAAGTAGTTGGCAGAATTCAATGAAATTGACACTATGTTGTTTTTCAACAATAACTACCTTTTATCTAATTTAGAGCCTAATCATATAAGCCGTTTCTGAAATATTGGCATATCTAAAAAAAAAAATACGTTTGCGATTTGTTGAAGCGGAAGTGCTGGATGGAATTTCATAAAATTGATATGGGACCATCTAGGTACCATCCCGGACAATTCATAAAAATCAGATGAACGGTACTAGATAATATTCCCGTCACATTGATTTGACCACAGATAGACACCAAATGGGGGCGGGGTGGGCAAATAGGCTAAAGTGTGTGCACAGCACCGCTAGTTGCCTGGCAACCGGATAACAGAAGTTTGAGATGATATAAAAAGTACGAGAAAGAACAAAAAAAAAAAAAGATAGACACCAAACCAAATTTGATCCTTAATGTCTGAAAAGTAAAATGTGAGGTGAACTTTTCGAATCTCAGCACAAAAAATTTTTTAACCTGTCGCACAAATACAATGCTTCCCAATCTTTGGTAGTGAGGAAGCAAAAAACTACTAAAGAAATACTTACTGTTCTTAAAACTTGTTGGGAGAAATTATGGTTGATAAAAGTTGCCTCTAAAGCCAAGTTACGTGGTGAATTTAGGCTGTTTCCATCATCCATTGGTGGTTCAACTGATGTTTCATTAACAGTGAGTAGATCTAGCAAAAATCAAACCAAAAGAGAGCATGTAGTAACAATAATTATTTAATATAGTTTGAATTAATTTTCAATTGCTTCATGCTAAGATAGCTTTTAAAATTAAATTAATTTCTACTTACCAAATTCAGTATTATCTCTTTTGTCAAAGAAAAGCTTATCTCCGATTTTCTCAATGACAATATCCCAAGAATAATTTGACCGTGTGCAACACATTAAAGTAGCCAGAATTGCATCAGTTGCATACACATTTCCTTCAGTTTTAGACAACTAGAAAAGTGAAACTAGTTACAACCACACAAGACACCAATAATGTAAAGTGTCAACTATGAAACACCAAATATTTGCCAATTAACAAGCTCAATTAACTTTTATAATAGTTATTTATTAAGTAATAATTAACTAACCTTTCTTATGATTGGATCATCAGTAGTTGTGACTGTGTGAAAAATACGGTCGATTCTTTGCAATGGTTTTTCACTTCTTACATTCACACGATCATACATTTTATCATAATACTCCAAGGAACCACAACAAATTCTAAGGAAAGATTTTAAAATTACACACATTATCTTGAGATTATATGCTCAAATATGCAAATGAAAGCAAGATAGGCACTTACATATCTTCAGCTTCCTTAACATTAGGTAAAGATAATTTTGAAAGACGAGGGAAATCCATCTCTTCAATTGTTACCCAATCAGGTCGAACAGTTACACTTGCATCTCGATTTTTAATAGGAGCTTGATTTTTCTGATTTCGGAGTCCTTGTTGTTTTCCATATTTTTTTGTATTCACAACACCTTTACGGTCCCTAAAAAGAAATCTAATCTCTCAAGAGTTTAGTTTATTAGATTACTCAATAGTTTACAATTACATCACACATTAAATAATAGGACTACTATGCAGTCAATTCTAAATATTGAAAAAAAAAAAACTAAATTATGTAAAGATATTAACAATTTACCCTTGTCTCTGCCCACCACGGCCCCTCAAGTTCCTCTGATTTTGCCTGAATCTTCCTCTTTGATATGGAGGTTTCTGAACTCTAGTTGTGTCAACAAGGTGGAAACTACTTTCATCTTCTTCATGATAGTAAGCATACTGACTACCAGCTCCAAATTGGGATTGATACTTGCCTAAAATAAAAATTTAAATTTTAGTATATAAGCTAGATAAAAAACTTCTTCCTAAGTTCATTTTTTTTTTTTTTTTATGTATATTAGAAAATACTTTCAATATTGCAATTCTATTACCTATGAGTGGTAGGTCAACAAACATGAATTCACTTCAAAATTATTAAATTAAAAACTAGGTAAAGTGCCTCCAAATAAAAGATACTTTGATCATACAAAAGTTAATTTCATATTCCTTTTTAGCAAAAATATAATTATATGCATCAGAAGGAAAGTGATTATTGGCAATCCATTACTGCTTTGAGGAAATAGAAGGGACCATATTACATTGCCATTGTTACACAATCAAAGGTGTAACATCATCTCCCAATTCCTTCATCTTGACAGCTGAATTGAGTGAAAATGACGGCCACGTTGACTTAACATTTATATCCGCGCCCAGTGTCAGCCTAGTTTAAAATTACAGAGAGTGAGAGTAAATAGTTAATTAATTTAAAATCGATTACCTCCGGTTATATTGATCAGTTAGAAAAAAATTTACTCATCTATTATGCCTCCAACTCGACATGGTGCATAGTAAAATGGGAGGGCAGAGTGAGTCCAACAAAGAGGTAACTGCCGGATCACATGACCATGATGAGGTAATTTGTGATGTATTGAAAAGTGAAACACAAAAAGCTCTATTATGTTATATGTATAGAGATACAGTTATAGGTATAGGTACCACAGATCTAGCCATAAATTGTGTGTAAGCCACCTTAAGAGTAGAAAACAGAATAAATTTTAATAAACCGTATCCCTATTTCTGTTGTTGCCTTAAATTAAGAAACTTATTATTAAGCTGAGAAGGAAAGACTAAAGAAGAACACTAAGTCAGTTTCTAAACAGCAAAATTTTGTTTCACTGTATTGTTCTGTTCCACTGTATCATTATTTGTATTGCATTAGTACATATATTTATTGTATTATGTTTTACTACATTATTGATTGTACTGCGTTAGGGCTGAAAACGAAATTGTACACACACATGTATATTTTCTGTTTTATATCAATGAGGATGTTTTTAGAAAAGAAGTTCGAAATGTTAATTTGATAATTTAGTCAACTCCTTGCTATAAAGTTTTGTACTTTTGAGGAATAAAATTATTAAAATAGTTTCTCGAGAATCTTATATTTGCCTAAGCAGTTGAATTCCAGATATTGCTGTTTTGAATACAGATTTACCAGTTATGTTACCAAATATAAATATGTCATTTTGCAAGGTTGGCTTTACCAATGACAGCGCATTTCACTACTGTTGTTTTTTTTTTTACATTAATGAAATTATGTAATATTTATTAAAAGATTTCAGTTTTAAGTTCTAAACATATATCTATGTTCAATCCAGGTTCTTCTTCAGACCTGCTAAATGGGGCCAAGTACAATGAGTTACTACAAAATGCTGGAGGGATAATATTAATTCTTATGTAAACTATTAATCTGAGTATCCCAATGAGTATTTTAAGTTCACTGAATTACTTTTAATATTATGCGCTACTTTCAATTGTTCTGCTAAGAATGAATATCCTAGGATGGTGTTAGAAATTATGTTTTCATTAAATTAATATTCTCAATTCATTTCGAGAATTTATATATTGTGTACCACTAGGAAAACATTGTCAGTTTCCATAAAGCCAAGGCTATATTGAAAGAAATAATATACTGTTTTAATAGTCTCCTCTTCCAGATTTCTGGATCTTCAATGGTGCAAATATCTGTATAAAGACAACCACTAATACTGTGAACTTTACACCGATATTTAAATCAATGATTTTGGTATTATATATCAATTAAAGCTTTAGTAGAAAAAAAAATCAAAAGAAATAAATTGATTATGATTGAAAGAGTTTTACCAATAACTTCCACCATTAAAAAAAATTATAAATCATTTAAACAAATAAAATATAGAAATTTATTCAAGATGTATACTGTTCAAAACAACCACCAAATTATTCAGAAATTATGCAAAAGAAATGAATGTGGATAAAAACAATTTATAGTATAATTCAGAAAAGTCCATTTCCCTAACTATTTGAACTGAACATAACTGAAAGTGTCTACAAAATTTGACATATGCTACTACAAAAAAAAAAATCTACTCACTTGTATATTTCTTATCTTGAAAAGTAGGCCCAGTCCAATCAGAAATCTTCAAAAAATAAAATATATTAAACCTGCGAAAGTCATTATAAATACTAAATAAACAACAATAAAATTAAATACCTTTCCAAGACGGTCTCCTTTAGAAAAAGGCTGATAGGGCATATCTTTAAATTGATCTGGCATTTCACAGGGGCCCCAACCATTAGGATTGTCATGAATTACAGGAGTTTTAAACCTTGGTAATTCCTCCTGATCATGCATTGCGTCTCCCATCTTATAAACCACCAAGAAATTTTACCCTCTAAACAATAAGCCAAACTTAAAGCTTAACCTTACTGCTGGTGAGAGGCAGGGAGCAACGTGGTTTTTCAAAAGGCTGGCTTCGCAAAGAGGTCGAATCACTTCAAACTATCGAAATATTGAAAAACTTACTGATTTTTTTTTTACCATTAAATACTACGCTAGTTCTTGAAATTATTAATTTTTTTCTGATATTCGAAAAAAATTGCATTATATTCGTTTTAGTAACAAATAATGCAAGTTCCTACACTTAGCGCTGAGCTCAGCAATAACATCAGATCTATCTCCAAACCAGTCGAAACGATGCCGTAGATTAGCTCACTGTTGAGTTAAGGAACTTGCCACTTGCCATTTAATAACTATGTACTAATCTTTTAATAAAATGAAATGGTATTAGAGTAATAAATAAGACATGTTTTTCCTTCACCAAACAACAATTCTTATATCATTCCTCCCTCTAGCAGAAAGGGATTTTTTAAATTCTGAGCTATATGTTAAATTTTACACGGTCTACATATTGAATAAAATACATTTCAAATATGTACGAAGTATTTTACAATGTACGTCACATTCGTGGTACTTCATTTTCCCTCCTTAATTAATATTTTTAGCGAAAGGAGACGATGGGGAACATTCATGAAGAAATTGTCCAGAGCTGCTAAATGTTTAAAAAAAATGTTTACTGGGTTTAGGATCAATTTAGGCAAAATAAGCAATTTAGATACTGCCAATCTATTTTTATCGTTCCCTTCGACATTTATTTCTGGAATCCTGTATTTAAAAACACTATGGTGCTAGTTGCTCTACAATGTCAGATCTAGTTGACAGGTGGTTCTAATAATATTAAAGACAATATAAATAGAATCCCAGAAGAATGCGGAGGGGATCGATCTCCTTTAGAAGTAAAGTATGAAAGGTATTTAATGATGAATTGAAAAAGATCCACCTGACATGGACCTTTTAGTTGTGCTTTGGGGAGCTGGCTAACGCGTGTGTGTACATCACCCTGTTTCTTAGCGTCCTGATGGAAGATAATTTGATAAAATAATTACGAGTTCACCTCCTGATGCTAGGAGGGCTTTTAACTCTGGCATTAATCTGCAGCGATAAAAAAATAAAGTGCATTGATCTCTACTGAAAAAGCAACATGTAGGACTTTGAGCAACCCGCGAGCCAGACAACCTATAAATATAGTTTATAACTCACCGATTCAGAATTCCTTAATTGCGGCATTGCCATGAATCCAGTCCGGGTAGGTTGAAATATATTTTTTGTGGACCTACGGAATGAATCTCAGCCTTTCCATTCTAGTTACATGTGGTATAATCCCCTTCTTTCCCCCGGTATTCCAGAAATGGTCAGGTATGGAATAGAAGGGGGATGTATTGTCGTGGTAATCTTGGTCCATCTGTCAACCAAACTTGACATTTGTGAATTACTACCAAAAATTATTATTGAAGTTTGATCAGATAATTCGCAACTGGTGTATAGAGAATCGATGTTCTTCTCTAATTGAACGAGATATGCTCGGAAGCCCCCATGCCTAGAGCAGTTGAGAGACCCAGTAATCAATTACAATTCATTTCGCTGCTAACGGATACCAATGGTGGTAAAATATTCCCTCAAGGTAGCTATCTACCTTTCGATGACATAAACCACTGCCGGTACTATTCATCAAGTACATACTCTCATAGAACATTTTTTATCTTGAAGTTCTTGATTGATCCTCGCATGGAGATTCACTGGTAGACCAGCCAAGCAATCCCTCACCATTTTGTGCCTAAACATGTAAAGGTACCCCTCTAAGACATGTATGATAAACTGGCCTGTAAGACCAGCACTCTCAAACACATTCAGCTACTCATCAAAGACCAGTTTTCACAGGACGGGGCCAAGGACAGATTCTTGTGCCAAGGACAGAGCCTCTCTCTTTGATATCTCTTACTTCCTAGAAGCAATTATTCGCACCATCTTGTTCTGGAGATTACTTCTCATTAGAATGTTCAAGAACCTGGGACCTGGTACTTCTACAGCTGCTAAAGCACGCTGGCTGCTCTCACTTTAACATTGTGTAATATCAATAGGACATTTGTGGTTCTCCTAACATTGGAACATCCATAGTGTGTGTGTGTGGATGGCTTGCTCTTGAAAAACGGACTTTAGGCTTGTGATCATTATGTTCTTCAACATCTGAAACATAACAAGGAGGAGAAAGATAAGCCTATAAGATTGAGCCAATTGCTTTTCCTTTTCTCCTCGCTGCTAGTCTAAGACCAGCAATGTTTACACTTTTTTTGTAAGTAGCCTCAATCCTACCAATCATTGAATGAAGACAAAAGCTAATCTTCAATATAGGTAATATTATTTTTTAGTATTACCATGTTAATGTTGTCAATAGTTGAAGCATGACTAACTAACCCTTTTACTATCAACAGGAGCATGAAAAAAACACATGTCCCATGGTGGGTCCAAGTCTGTTACCGGGCTGGTGGGCATTCCTTAGTGCATCTTACAAATGTCTCATCTTCACTATCTTGAAACAAATTATACCTGTGGTTGGTCTCTACAATAAAACTCTGCACTTTTTCTTCCTGATTGGTTTCATGAGCATATCCGCTCTTCATCATTGCAACCACCTGCTATGAAGTCATCATAATCTTTTTCAAAAACCAAATTGTCTAGAGTTTCAATATTATAACACGTTCTATTAAAAAATTTACTGCCCTCTGATAACACATTACTAATTGTTAAATGTTCACATTTAATTTAAAATATTATCATAAATAATGTGGATTAATTAACTAGAAAAATGAGTTATTAAAAACAAATGTCTTTCAAGAGATTTCTTTACAAATAGGATATTAATTGAATTTAACAATACATAAATAGGTAATTCGTGTATCATTTAAAATGTATGTTATATATACATAAAGACAGTAGTGAATTTTTAACTTTTTGGGACATTCTCTGTATTTTTTTCCTTATTTAAGATTTCTCAAGCCGGATTTCGCCGATAATTTGTGGACGGGAAACAGGTATCTTTTGTCTGTTGAGTAAAATAAGAAGTAAAAAATACACATTAAAAAATATTATGTCTATTTAAAGCTATAAATATTTCACCTTCTGCCTGTTCTGAATCAGAAACAAGTGTAGATGTTCATATGTGGTGCAGCATTTATTACAAGTCCGATTTAATTTGTAACAGAATTTTAACGCTCATGTATGATGTTCCTTACATTTTAATTTTATCATAATCTAAATTCTTTGTAATTTAAAAATTATTTTCCTCTTAGTTCTTAGTTATATAGCCTCTGAACTATTGAAGTTTTTTTTTTTATTATTTTTTATTTTTATTTTATTTTATTTTTTTTATGTAAAATAAAACATTCATCCATCTAACGGTTAATAATAGGTTTTGAGATTGAACTAAATGACGTTTTGATCATTTTAACTAAATGATTTATAATAGCATATTTTAAAACAGGGTTTTGATTGTAGTGGTTCAGTTGAACTTGACTTGACTCAGCCTCTTGGATGTTTCACTTTAAACTGACCTTGAACTAGAATAAAATGATAACCTTCATTTGTAAAACTGGATTTTCATGTTTGACTGTACATCAAGGTTGAACTTTAGTTGAACTCCAACCATATAACTAGCCCCAGATTGAGTTTTCACCTTTTGGTGTTTGAAGGATTCCTCAGCAGCATCACAGATGATGCTGAAGATCCGTCCTTCCAGGTCTAATCCATTTCCACCATATCCCATTCATTGCCATCCAGTTTTCCCTTCAACGTGGACCAGAAAACACCCCAATTTTCCCTTTGATTGATATAGCCCCTGTCAATACCATGAAAACTTGAAAATGCTCTATTTTCCTTAATGCTTAACACTCCCAGCCACACTGCTGAAGTTGAAGAATTCCTCTCTTCACCAATTCCTCTCTCTCTACCTCCAAAACCTGTTAATCCCTCTGAGGTCAAATTCCTTATAAACAAATTAAAACCCCGAAAATCCCCTGGATATGATCTCCTCACTTCACAAATCCTCAGACAACTTCCCAAAAAAGCAATCATATTCCTTACCTATCTATACAACTGCATCCTTCGCACAACCAACTTTCCTTTGGTGTGGAAACATTCCATAATCATCCTGTTTCCAAAACCAGGTAAACCTGTTAATAACACATCATCCTATAGACCGATAAGCTTACTCCCGATCCTCTCAAAAATCTTTGAGAAAATCCTTCTCAAACGCATCCTACCCATAATCGAATCCCACAACATCCCTTCTCATCAGTTTGGATTCCGCTCAAGACATTCCACTGTCCAACAAGGCCTTCGTGTTGTGGACCATATATCCTCTGCACTTGAAAACAAGCATTATTGCACTGGTGCCTTTCTGGACGTAGCACAAGCTTTCGACTGGGTGTGGCACGATGGCTTGCTTTTCAAGCTCAAAACCCACTTACCCCAATCCTTATACCTAGTCCTCAAATCCTACCTCTCAAATCGTTCCTTTCAAGTCCGTTGTGACACCGCATTCTCCACTTACTATCCAGTTGAGGCTGGTGTTCCACAAGGCAGTGTCTTGGGCCCAGTTCTCTATATCCTCTTCACTTCCGATATCCCTTCAAATCCCGATACATTTCTAGCTACATTTGCTGATGATACTGCCATTCTATCTTCCCACTCAGATCCTCAAATAGCATCTCTAAACCTACAATCTCACCTCTCTTTGATTGAGCAGTGGTGCAACAACTGGCGCATCAAAATCAATGAATCAAAATGCAAACATATCACTTTTACCCTGCGACGCAGATCCTGTCCGTCAATCCTTTTTAATTCAATTCCACTTCCCTACTCAGACACAGTCCGTTACCTTGGCTTCCTTCTTGACAAAAGACTAACTTGGAACCCACATACCAGACTTAAAAGACAAGAACTTAACCGACGATATGGCCAGCTGTATAGATTACTAAGTAGGACATCCCATCTTTCGATTGAAAATAAACTTTTAATCTACAAGACCATACTGAAACCTATCTGGACCTACGGACTTGAACTGTGGGGAACTGCTAAACATTCGAATATCAAACGCATCCAATCCTTCCAGTCCAAAGTACTTAGAACAATAGTCAATGCCCCATATTATGTCACAAACAAGACCCTACACCATGACCTTAACATCCCATTTGTCCTCGACATCATCCCAACCAGATTCTCAAACTTTCACCAAAACCTTATCCATCATCCAAATCCTCTAGCTCAATCTCTATCCAGCTCCCTTCATCCCTACAATCCTCCACGAAGGTTAAAACGGCAGTGGCCCAGAGATCTCTTGTAAATATGCTTCTGGAGTCCTGGCAATGGCCAGCTTCTCCACTCATGTCCCGAGCGTCTGTGGCTCTAGTGCCCTCTTTCAGTCTCCATTGGCTTCTAATACTAGTGATGCGGCTGGAAAAGTGGCACTGGGATCTCCTGGAGTCTTGCTTTGCCTTCCACATGTGGGGGAAAAAGCCTGGGTCGGAGATTCTTGGGCGAATGTATATATTGTATATAGGTATGATTGTTTTTATAAGTTTCTTTTTATGTTATTGTTTATTTATTTTATTTTTTTATTTTCTTTCTTCATCAGTATTATTTATTTACTGTTTATATTTATATTTATTTCTCTATTATTTGTATATATTGTTTGAATGAGAACTCTTAGCCCTAATACTTATAGCCCTCCAGTGGCTGATTGTATTATTATTCAATAATAATACAATCAGCCAGATAAAAAAAAAAAAAAATGCTTAACACTATCAATTGGTGTTCCTCCCAGATTATAGAGTGATACTATCACTGGCTTGGATGTTTTGATCATTGGATTATCTTAATGATTATTTCATTAATTATTTTATTTTATCTCCTATATCCTCCATGAACAATGTTTTGTGCATGTGTATACAATCTGTAATGCATTCAAGACATTGAGAGCCCCAAGAATGAAAACCTAGAGACCTATCTTCTCGCTAAGGGACAGTTTACTTAAGGAGTTGGTCAGAGAATATACTGCCGATTATGATTAGGAAGAACTTACTTCCTGCAAAGAACTTACAAAGAAATCTGAAAAAAAACAAGAGAGTGAAGAATTGTACAAGGAAATATCGCCAAAATATAAGAAATATGAAAATCTATGTAAATAAAAAGGGTCCAAATGAAGCAAAACGGGCATAAATAAATATTATTTCACTGCTGTTGAATCCTGTGTTACCAAAATAAAAGAGGAAAAATAAAGTAACAGAAGCTCTATCTAATATAAATTGTATTGATTGATAAGATATTTTAAAAATGACAATTTATTATGTTTGCTCTGATATTTCCTAAAGTATCTATGAAGAATATATAATGTTTAACAAATAGTAGTTGTTAATTTCTGACCTCCTCTCTTTGAAAAAAGCAGTGGAGGGTGTTTCACTACTAAAAAGTTGGTAATAGGTCAATTAAAACAATCTATAATTGCTGGAACTGGTATACTGTAGTAACAGCTCAAAAGAAGAGGATAATTTACCTATTAATGAAAAAAAAACTATAATAAAATACATAAAGTATACAATTATTTGAAGAAAAAAATTTATTTTTAAGAAGGTAAGTTTTCAGTTAGATTCAGTAGAATGAGAGCAGACAAATTTGACAAATATTTATAAATATATTACAAAAGTGTTATTACATTAATTCAATTACACTTCCAAATTCTTAAAACTTGGCAGAACGGTTATCTGATACATACAACATACACTACATTGAATAATACGAAAATGTGGTTTCATAGTGTCTACCTGAACAGGATTATAAATTAAATTATTCAATGAATTTAGGTTTAAATAAAAAAAAACAATGCAACTATTATTGTTACAATACAGATCTAAAACAAACTTAGATTATCAACCCGTTTCATTCTACAATTACAATATCATATTTTGACTGTTTTATACTCAGTCACAAAAAATATGAGCAAGAGTTTTACTCATAATTTTTATTTAAACTACTGAGCAGGTATATTATATCCTAATTGTGCTATCAAAATATTCTAAAGTATTTATTAATGTTCCCTAAAAATCTCTAAGTTTAAATATATTTACTTTAAAATTAATCTAGATTGTAACATTAATTTATTGAGATATTTACAATACTTGAGAATTTTTCTTAAAAAGATAATACATCATCAAATGGACCCAAAACTGAGCACTGACATATAATTAACACTTTTTCAATAATCAATATATAGTTGTAAATCTTTAATACAATAATTGTAATATATGTATATTCTTTGCGAATAATTTTGATATTTTTGGTAGAGGTTTATTAGTTAATATTTTTATTAATTATTTTTTATAGTATTAGTTTAAAAGCCAGATCACCAAAATTAACAAGTTGATATCAAGCTAAAACATTTTGGATAATTTCAAATCATTAAGACATGGTTCACATGGAATAGATAGATCGGTATAAGTTGTGCATATGTCATATAAAAGGTTGTTTGCAGACAGACATCTCTTTCAAACCATTTAGAGGTAATAAATACCAGATAATTGTTGTTCCCCCTTGTACAAGTAGAGACATTCAAGTGTTATCATTGAACAATGGATGATGTACAAGTACAAGTTATTTGGTCTTGGATTCAGAAAAAGTGAAAATACTGCTTTGGGTACACCACATTAATGTAAACCATGTGTTATTTAACATTTCATGAATTTGAATGACTGTAACTAATTGGTCGTTGTTGTTGATAAGTGGATCTCTTATATTGAAAATTAATGAATTTAAAAATAAACATTTTCCAAAACACCCCACTTGAAAAACAAACAATAGGCTAAAAGAATACACAAGTATAGTACTTTGCATTGTTAGTCCTCTCTTTTTAATTTCTAGAATTTTTCAGAAGACGGAACTGCTGATGAGAAACCTTTTCAGTCCCTCATCCAGGTCTTCTGTAAGTTTTTTCTACTGATAAGACATCTCTCTCCTTCACACTGATCTTCATGTGATCTGGAACTTAATCATATAGAATGGTTTGTAGCCGAAAATACACTCAATCAAAACCCAAGGTATGTTTTTTTTTTTATTTTCACTTCTTTAAATAATCATAAATGAAATTATTAGATGTTTAACAGAAAATTTACAGTCAATTTTTAAATTAAATACTGTAAGACATTTATTTTCTGAAACAATAATTCTGAAGTAACAATGCTTGGTCTCTTAGTAATATTATTTGTAGGCCATTTATTTTATGAAGGCAAAAAAGGAAAAAAAATTATCTTATCAATATTTAGCAGTAGCTTAAAAAAAAAAAGTCCTGTAAGCCATACCAATGAAAATTGATGTAGTATACTTAAAATAATACAAATGCTTTTTCATTATAATGGAAAGCTGTCTTATTCTAATTGTTACTTTATAAAGGCATTGATTCTGTTTGTATAACATTAAAACTAACTTAAATATCACTTTCATCAATTACAAAATACAATATACAAATATTCTAACTGTATATTTAAACTGTATCTATTTACAATTGCAATAAAGAACAAAATGATCTTTTTTTATTAAATATTATAAGATATTTGGAATTTTGAAGGTTTTTGTCATTATAATTTTAGTATAAATCATAATGGAAATAAATTTCATATTTTATGAATAATATTAATAAGCAATGATGCGACTAGTAATGAGCAATGAAAAATATACCAAAAATATTAAATAAATAATATCAGGAAAATCTATCAATGATATAAATTGAATAAAATAATTTAGTCATTAAATTCTCAATTTCATACTTTACAATTAACATTAATATTTTGATTCTTAGCACCAGGAAAATCTAAATGGACATTTCATTTTATTTAGACATACATTAATTGGATACAAAATTTAAGATTTTGTTTAGCTTTATTAAAATGTTTGATTTTCATGTGTCAGCAACCATGTATCTAAAATAGATCCATAGATTAGTTGTAGTTTTTCAAATGATGATAACAAAAAAAATAAATATTTTTTTTAAATCTAATTGTTGTTTAAATATAATGGTTTGTTTAAAAAAAAAAAATCATTTTGTTCATTGCTTTTGTTATATTCTCTAAAATAGATACTTATAATATTTAGTACTATGGTTATAAATATAAAATGAAACATAAAAATACATAATGATTGCTGATATGGTTATAGGTACATCAAATTTAATAAATAACATATAAGTTTAAATTATAATAGGGCACATGCACGGGACTTTTGAGGTTTAGTCGGTTGTACATTGTTTGGAATTGCTAGTAGCCTATGAATGACAATGCGATAAGTTGCAACCAGTGGACTCCTGGCACCTTTCCCAATTTCAGCTTCCAGCTGTTCAGCTTTTATACCTAGTGATTCAAGACGTTCACGTGCAGCCTTTTCTTCTTTTGACATTTCTTTTTCAGTCTGAAAAGATAAATTCAATCATATATTTATTTATAAAACAATAATAGATTACATATAGAAAACAAACCCAAAAAAACAAAACAAAAATAAAATCATAAGTCTATCCTTATTAAATTAGACAGTAAAATATATATATAAATATAAAACTATCCCTTCAAATGGCCAAAGCCTGTCTTGCTGTTTGCATTTATGTTGGCAATTTTTATTCAGAGAATAGCTGGAAGTAATATCAGGCATCTTTGTTGTTATCAAAAGTACCATCGATTATACATCCAAAATTATTGCTATGTTCTTTAGAAAAAGTATCATCCATCTATTGATAGTTTAGCAAGCTGCCAAAAGAGAAGATATTCAAAACTGAATAATGATATACACTATTGATGAAAACTAATCGATAATTATCAGAGTATAGTTTGGTATCTAAACTCTTGTTAGTTTATTGCTGACTTTGTTCATGAGTCCCATTATAATTTCTATATTCAAAAATATGCAGGAAATATTGCTATTTTAAATAGTGCAAGTAAAGTTTTATTTCTTGCATTATAAGTACATCCATCGATCATCTGACTGGATGTTTACATACAGGTCTCTCCATCAATTTTACTGAAAGTAAATTTCTGTTACATCAATAACAAGAGTAAAGTTATCTGCAGAAAGAGTGATCGGCAGCGTTCAGAGGACTTTTGAGGAAATTGGTTTGGCTATTAATCCTCAAAAAAGCGTGGGCATCGTTCTAAATAAAGGAGCTGGAAACAGCGATGCTCTCCCTTGAGAACGGAGAGTACATCCAAACATTGCAGAATGGAGATACAATCAAGTATTTAGGATGTACATTCTCGGGAGAGCTACAGTTCAACGAAGATTCGGTGACCAAATTGAACGAAAATCTGAATAAACTGGTTACCTCTCCCTTGCTGAAGCCGGAGCAGAAGCTAAACATTGTCAACCAATATCTGTTCCCGGGTCTTACTTACCCTCTCCAAACTGCACCCCTCACAAAGCTGCGTCCTGCCATACTTGATGGCATCGACACCATGATTTGCAGGAGTGTGAAGGCTATTGTTGGACTCCCTGCGAACACCTCCACGGCGATGTTGTACTCTCCCAGGTGGTATCGAGGATTAGGATTAATCCGCTGCCAATGGGAGGCTCCTCTACAACATTGGTCCATTGCTCAGCGACTGTCCAATGTGCCCGATGCCCTTTTTCGGTCGATCTTTGATTATTCGGCTGAGGTTGATGAATGTGCCGAGAGATTGGGGGTTGATCGGGGTATTCGGAATATGAGAGCTCTACGGCAGTCGCTTCGAGAAAATTCGTTTGAGGAATGGACCAATTGCAGGTGGCAGGGCATTGGAGTTCACCATTTTAAAGAGACCCCGAAGGCCAATAAATACATGTATGATAAGCAAGTACTTTCTGGGTCTGAATGGTCAAATGCCCTGAAACTGAATATTAATTATGCACCCCTGCGTGGAGTCCCAGGTGTCAGCGGACAGGTAGGAGAAGTTGGGTCCCTCTGTCGCAAATGCGACAGAGAGCCAGAAACACCAGCACATGTGCTTGGAAAATGCCCCAACAACTCCCTCCTTATAATGCGCCGTCACCACAGAGTCAAACATGAACTGATGAGGCTCCTTATAGAGAGAGATTACGCCTGTTTCGAGGAAGTATATTGCATAGATACGGATGGATCCACCCGATATGCCGACATTGTAGCATTCCCTAAGACAGGAAAGTCGGCGATGATTTTGGATCTGACCGTGAGATATGAGACCAACGACCTCGATCAGGCAGGAAAAGTGGAAAGGGAGAAAAAACAGACATATGAGAAATGCATCCCTTTCCTTAGTGAAAAGTTCCGCGAGAGTTTCGGGCCGAGAGAGTTCCACGTGAGAGGCCTTTGGTTTGGAGCTCGCGGAACGATACCAGACTCAACAAGGAGCTTCATGGAGGGCCTTGGTGTCGACATAAAGGACGTGGCAAGGTTGGCAGAGAACATATTCCTTGACTCCCTGGGAATTATCCATCACCATGTGCATGGATAGAGAGTTTGTCCATGGGGGGAGGCATGCGTGTTTTACAGCATTTTTACATTATTTATTGACCACGTCCACTGCACTTTATGTATTTGTATGCATGTTATGAATTAGGTTAGGAAAAGAGAGGAGAAAATCTAGGGAACGAGAAAAATGTATAGAGTGAGAGAAGGGACAGAAAGGGATGTATAATGCTAATAAACGAATTAAAGAAATAGTAAAAATAAAATAAATAAATAAATAAATAAAAATATAGGGAAAAAAATTATGATAAAAATATATATATATAGATAAAAAAAAAAAGTTGTATATTATGCTCATGCATGTTGTTAATACTATATAATTGTATATTAGTTTTGGAAAATTGTCTGTAGCGATTAATAAGTATGCTGTGTTTAAAGCAACCCAATGTAATTGGGCAGCACCCTTTTATGATAATAAAGTGATTCTCTCTCTCTCTAGACAATAGCCTGTAATGACCAAGGTACAGGTGTTACAATATGGAGTATGACGAACATTTAGCTGCTATATCCATTTGAAACACAATTTAATGTTTTTAATTTATTATTGATAACCAAGACAAAACAAAAAAGTTCCAAAACTTCGAGATTTTATAGGTCGCCTAAAGTTTTCTCAAGGTGGTCCAATATTAGAATTTTCACTTATATATACAAATTTTTTTTCTTCTTCTTTTTTTTTAAATATAACCTCTGTCCTCTAATGACTGACCTAATATTTATGAAATCATCCACCATATTTAAATCAGCAGCTTTGGAATGACAGACTATGATTTATTGTCCATAAAATAGCAGACACTTTCATCATTCACATTCAAATCTCCTCCTGCAATAGTAACCTATTTTGACCCTGCCTCCAGGACTAAAACAAGTTTGACAAGTGGAGCTAAGTAAGCGCAGACTTTGAGAAGAGGGATCGCCCAAAATAAACAGAGGGGGGGGGACTAGAATATTGTTTCGCCCACTACCAAGAGGTTGCCTGAATTATTGAGTTTTAAGATTCATTTCTGATGAGTGCCAAGAAATAAATATTAACCGACACAGATGAGAATTAATCACATCTTTTTAAGCTGGGCACTCTGAATCACTACTACCAATATATTCAGCCATGACAGCATTATCGATAGCACTAAAATGGTAACTATGGCATAATGCTTCTATGGCCCTTGCTCATATTCATATTCACTTTTCCTGCTTTACTGTGACAATATATAATAACTACTTACACCAATCGTTGGAGTTAGAGTCCAACTTTCACAAAGACCACCATTGATAGAAGTTCCATTCATCCATTCTGCTGAAGAAATTTGATCAATAGTATACCTCTCTGATGGATTTTGCCTCAGGATAGCTCCTAAAATTGTATTGGATTATTGAGTGATAAGTTCAACATAACTTATTTTTATTATTATTATTTATAGAATTTTGTTTTTATTTATATTATTAACATCATCGTAGTAGGATTATTACCTTGTTATGGCCTTATATATCTAAACAAGAACAAAAACAAATGTGCTAATTCAATATTAATAATACTTTTCATCATACATGTTTAAAAGATATTTACTTATTAGAGTTCTAGCTGGTAAAGAAAGGTGTGCAGGAGCGGTAATAACGCCTAAAAGTATACTCCTTTTGAGACCAGCAATCGAATCAGCTGGGAAGGGCATCTGACCAGTCAGCATAAAAAATAATAGTACACCGAGTGCCCAAATATCAACTGGTGGTCCAGAATAACTATCATCTTTAAACAACTCTGGAGCTGCATATGGTGGAGAACCACAAAACGTTTTTAGCTCTTCCCCTCCTGCAAATAATACACTTTAATAGCATTTATATTTTGAGTTGTATTAAAAAAAAAATTACTTATGTAAAGAGAAATAATGGATAAATAAATTTCACTATTGTACTTATATTGATGTAATATATATAATGATAATATATATATATATATATATATTTACAGTGGTGTGAAATTGTTACTCTTTACTGTTAACATCAAGGAGACGTTGTATAAACTCTGTATAACGTAGCGTATCTGTGAAAATTATTGGAATTCTTTAGTAATTTAATTTAACATTTATTTTTATATTTAATGATACTTTTATTTCAGATAATGGCAAACTACCATATTTTTTTTTCATCATTTTGCTAAAGAATAAAGTTCTGCCCAGTCAGCTATAGCCGAAATGGAATATAAGGATGCTATGGTACCGCTTTGTATCCAGTTTTCCATCTAGCCACAAGAGATTTCCAACTACAGCTCCAGATCCTCAACCATTTAGAAGCCACCACTGTGTTTTACTGTTGGTTGTAAACATTTATCTGAAAATTCCATTCCAAATCTTATGAAACATACTGCCTCTAACTGAAACCATTTCAAATCATGATTCATCTCTCAATAAAAATTTGTTCCCTTCTTCTTTCATTCAAATTTCGTGTTATATGGTAAAATTAAGTTGCTTTTTCTCGATCGAAAATATGTTTTTTTTCCTGGAAACACAATCTTTAAGGATTAGAGTTTTCTTCTGATGATGGATAAAACTTGGGACCTCGTAGTTCTTTACTAGATCTTAAGAGGTTGTGCAGACACAATAATTTTAAATTATGTTCGGCAACAGCATTATGTTTATCAGACCTGTCAGAACATTTAAAGTCTCCATTTTACTTCATTTTTAACAACTTTTTGATAACACAATGAATTACAGAAATAGAACCTACAAGTTCATTTTGAATTTCTCTGATTGTAAGTCCTTGTCGATTCAAAATTATAATTTTATATCGGTCAAAAATATGATGTTTTGCCTTTTCTGAAATAAAAATAACATTAAATAGAAACAAAAAATTGAAATATGGAATGTTAAATTAAATTACTGAAATAAACCCAGAGAATTCCACTAGTAAAGCCACTTTCACTGATACATTAAGTTTAAAAAATTTATACAATGGCTTTTGATATAATCCATAAAGAGTAAAGACTGAAATGGATAATAAAGACGTGAAATATAAACAATAAGATAGCATTATTCAGAGGACAAAATAACGTCAACACAACAGATTGGTCCCTTGCATCATTGTTAAATGAAATTAATACAAATTTAAATATATGTTACATCTATAATGTTGGCATGGTTAAATCAGTTTCCAAACAAAAAGATAAAAACACTTTTGAATTGAAACATTTATCATTTCTTTAAAAATTTGATTTGTTCGAAGAATTATTATACAGATAAGAATCTATGGTAATCTATCACGTACCCGAAACTTTTGTACTGAAACCAAAGTCTCCCAGTTTGACAATTCCTCTTGGGCCACAAAACACATTTTCAGCCTTTATATCTCTATGTATGATATTTCTTTCATGCTACAAAACAAAAATGGAATTAAAAAAAATAATAGACATAAATAAATTGAGTAAACAAATTTATTTAGTTATAATGATTTTATATTTAATAGAAACATGGCTTAAAACAAAAATAAGAACTTTGCCTAAAGTTTTGGAAATATCTATTTCCAAATAATTGTATATTACAATAGAAATTAATGCACATTCTAACATTTGACACAAAGAAACAATACAGAGCATTGGCCACAAAGAACAAACTTGGAGAACTGATGAAAAATCAAGGCAACTTAACGTACAGGACTAAATTGAATTAATCATTTCTTTATTTATTGATAAAATTCAATCAATTATATTTGATTCAATCTAGTAAATTGAAATATTTCTTATGGAAAAAGATGTAAGAAGAAGAAAGTTTTGACACTTTTCTGTTGATAAGTTACATAGATTAAATTTAAAGATTTGTTTGTAGAAAAAATGCAATAACCACTATAAAATATTGGAATATAAGACCAGCTTAGATATAAGTGCTAATGACATCTAAATTTGATATTGAACAAAAATGAGAAAAATAAAAATAAGGACAACAGCAAGATAAATCAATTGGACGAAGAGCATCTCCCTAAGATACAAACAAACTAACTGAGAGATACTTTTTAAAGTATTTTCAAATATTTAATTCAATCAAGAGCTCTAGTCGTTTATTATGTATGTAGTGTATGTACAGGTGATTAGCTGGCGGATCTGCTCTTCTACATTACATTGGAAAAAGCGATGTGTGTTGCAAGGATCCAGACAACACACACAGTATTTAGTAGAATAGTTCAAATCTAGGTTATGCAGATGATCTGGATACAATTAGAGGATGTTATCTATTATTACATATATAAATTGTTCAATAATAATATGTTAATTAGTCTTACTATGTGTTTTACAGCAGACAATATTTGAGCAAAGGCTAGTTTGGCCTCTGGTTCTTTCATTTTTCCATCAGTTGTAAGACGATGGTATAATTCTCCACCATTTACGAATTCCATTACCAAGTGTAATTTAGTATATGTTTCTACTACCTCAAATAACCTAAAACAGTAAGTTATAAACATGAAGAATGAAAAATATGCAAGGTCAATTATAAATTTTGATAATACTATTTAGAAATTTAAGAAAATTAATGACTAGTTAATTTTAAAGTTTTAATTCTAATTGTTATCTAATGTTTAGCAGTAAGAATGATAACCAAACAAATAAGCTGGTTACCTTTTTTTGTGAGGCAGTTTATTAGTTTCTGAGTTCGTAAAAACGATCTCATCTAAAAGTCCATTTTAGTAATTTTAATTAATTAAATTAAAAAAAAACTGTATAACTATAAGTTATATATTAAATATTGATACAAGTGACCTTAGAAATATCAAAATGTCTAATCTCTATTTTTAAATAAGTTCGAGTTTATAGAACCAATCTATAGTGTCCATATTACAAACCCATAAATTTTAATTTTGATCAATTTTTTTTTTTAAATTTACTAGTATACTCCTCTCATACATAACTGTAAAATCTAATAATTAAAAATAAAATGTGGAGGGCAAACAGCAGGTAGTTGTTTCACAAATTATTGTCATTCTTTCTTAATTAGATAACATATTTATGTACTGTATTTGTAATATAACAATAAAACTCAATAAATACAGTTTTAGAAAGTGTTTTAATGTGGAGAGATGTAATTTAAGGTCATTTTTGTTTTTGAATCAATATTTTTTTTTTTAAATTATAATAAATAATTATGTATTAATGCCTTAAAAATCTATATAACATACCTAATGATATTCTTATGATGTACTGATTCCATGCTTGAAATTTCTTTGGCTAACATTTTTTTGGCCTTTGGGGTCAACTTCGATTTGTCAAGGATTTTTACAGCAACTCTCTCTAAAAAAACATAATAAATTGTAAGGTTGGCAATGTTTGTCATAAGTTCATCAATCAATCATAAGTTTAACAAAAAAAAAAATAGAAAATAAATAAATAAGAATAATAAATTTTCAAATAATAATTTTGCGACATTCATTTATTAATGAAGTCAGAATGTTGATGTTTTATAACAACAATAAATACCAGAATCTTTATTTTTTTTTTACAAATTTAAATATGTTAGTTACATGAACCTTTGGCCTAGTTAAATTATCATCAGCCTCATTGGATTCAATTTATTTAAAAAAATAATAATAATCTATGATCTTTTAATAACTTATTTGATAAAAGAATGGCTGATGGCTTAGGAAAATGTATAACATTTTTTTTAACCATTATGTTACATATTTAAGTAAGAGGAGAAATAGAATAGAAAGTATTTTGTTTTCTAAATACATTCAATAAGATAATTTATGAGGTTACAGGAAGAGAGTAGGTATAAGTCAATCCCTTATACTAATTATTTTAATTAGTATTTCTACTAATATTTGGAAAGAATTAAAGGATTGAAACTTAATTTATTATTATTTAATTTATTTAGTCCACTTAAGATAAAGAAAAAATAGCCTTACCCCAATATTAAAAAAATAAAAATGAAATTCGACGAAAAATTGTTCATTACTCTCCCCATAATAACTGGTATGAAGTCCAAAAACATCCCGCATCGGGTTTTGATGGCGGAAGGGAGTGAAGGACAGAAAAGTGATGTTTTTTTAATTTTTGAAAATATCCCAAAAAACCTACGAGTTTTTTACACAATGATTGTTCATTAAAATATTAGCGTACTTTACAATATCTATAAAAATGATCCTAAACACTTTTTAAATAAAATCAACAGTTACAAAGATATTTATTGTATTTCCATTTTAAGCAAACATTGATTCAAACCACGAAATTGATGTTGTTCATAGTAGATGATACCATTTTGAATTTTGATTCATTTTTTAACATTTTCAATCATTCAAATTATTATTCAGTTTTTTTTATTTTGATCCTTCTAAATAGTCATTGGCAACAGAATTATATTTGATATTAATCAATGGAGAAATTTGTGATATTGATATGAACCTATAAAAATTTACTATAAACCATGGTCTGAATACATGCAGAAGTACAACTTAAATTTTGTCATTTTTAAGTCAACCATGTTTTATGTTGAGTAAAAAACAATAACTAAAAAAATGTTTGATTTAGTTTATGACATTTACTTCATAGTAAACTAGATTAAATTTACATCAACTTTGATGCCAAAGAAAGTAAATTTTGTCTTTTTTAAAACCATTTTAAGGGGACTTTGAAGCAGTTAAACAATGTTAAGTTCGGTTTTTCATAAAATCAAGATTTCTTTTTTATAATCTCCCATTTGGGCGGTAGATACCATCCTTTTAGAAAAACTTTCTTCCTTGGTGAGCTTTAAGTCTATATTAATTAAGTTGAGGTTTGTTTCATAGTAAGTTGAGATTCATCTCTAATTGAGTAAAAATATATGGGTCGATTTATAATTTTACCTTACTAATAATATTTTATTCAATTAGAGTAAATATAAACTCAACTTAATTAATAGACTTAAAACTCACCAAATAAGCAAGTTTTTCTAAAATTGTGGTATTCTTAGCTATGTGTGGATTTATAAAAAAAATCGCGAAGAATTCTTGATAATATGAAAAACTGAATTTACTTACAGTTAGTTTAACTTTAGCTTAAAATTCCCCTTTAATTGTTTTTAAAAAAGACAAAATTTACTTCCTTTTAATTTTACTTTAATCTAGTTTACTATGAAGTAATTGGTTGTAACCTAAATTAAACATTTTTTTTTAGGTATTGTTTTTTGTTCAACATAAAATGTGGTTGACTTATAAATTACAAAATTTAAGTTTCCTGGTTCTCTGTATGTAATCAGACCATAGTTAATAGTAACTGTATACAGGTTTTAAAGTCTCCTATTACATATTATCAATTATATGAAATTGATGTCAATCTAAACTCCATATCAATATCAAGAAATTCTCCATTGATTTATCAAGTATAATTCTGTTGTCAATGACTTTTTAGAATAATAAAAAAAAAAGAAACTTTAATTAATAATTTGAACAATCGAAAATGTTAAAATACGAATGGAACTTCAAAATGGTATCATCTACAACGAACAACATCAATTTTGTATTTTGAATCAACTTTTGCTTGAAGTGTAAATACAATACATATAAACTTGTAAATATCTCCATAACCATTAATTTTATCTAAAATTAACCATTAATTTTATCTAAAAGTAACCATTAATTTTATCTAAAAAATGTATATGGTCAATTTTATATCACTTTAATACTGTATTGAACAATCTTTGCAAAAAACCTCGTATTTGAGATATTCTCAAAAAAGCAAAACAATTCCAGTTTTCTATCCTTCGCTTCCTCATCTAAACACGAAGCAGTATTCTTTAGTATATTTTACCATTTATCAGGGGGAGGATTATGAACAATTTCTGACTACTTTTATCTTTTTTTTTCAATGTTGGGATCAATCTCTAGTTTTACTGGACTATTTATTTTTCTTTCTCTTTAGAAGTATCATTGTTTGTGTAATTACATTTAATAGAACATCAAAAATCACTTTTTCTCTATTTTCTTTCAAAGCAATTATCGTTATATATATATAAAAGAAACTTTCGGGCAGAAGCGTTCCCCAAATTAAATCCTGTATCGGTTAGTGGGTTATGGTAAATTTTCAATATTTAAAATGAATATAATCACTTCATTACTTGAAATACAGATTAAAAAAATATCATATGATGAATATATTTCAAATTTGGTAAACTTTAATTGTAAAAAACATTACCCTTTGTAAGTTCATGAGTGCCCAGCTTGACAGTTGAGAAGTTTCCCCGGCCTAGCTCCCCTTGGAGCCGATAGAGTGCGACACGTTTCCCCACACTGGCCTCCTCTTGCCACTTCTGGTCATGGTGCAAATTATGCACCGATTTTTCGTATGCTGCAAGAAAATGTAAAAATATAAAATATTAGACGTATAAGGGTCAGATTTATTTTTTATTGTATTTAATTATAATAATTTACCATGAAAAAGGTCACTATAGCATATTTGGTGAATCTTCTTTTCTATAAGATGTTAAGTTAAAAGTTTAAAAATTATTTCTCAAAGGCTATTTATATGTTCCATATTATTTAAACATTATAACTAAAGGTAGTATTGAAGATGCTCTAATTTTTTTACAGGTAATATTGAAGGCAATACTGAAGATAACCCTTGCACGTGTCATTATAGTGCAATTACGATCTTCTTTCCTTCAGAGACGTATGTTATTTCTTTTTTGTTGTGTGATTTGTGAAGTTTTTTTAATTTCTAAACATTAAAACGCAGTGCTTAGTTTAAAATCAACCTTAGACAGTTGGTTCCCTCGAGAAATTGTGACATGCTCAAACTTCTTTCGTCGTTAAAAAAATAAAATAAAAAAAGATCGTCTTCTTACTTTTTGTCCATAGCCCTACTTTAAGGCAATTTATACTAGGCAATTTTTGCCATTTATACTTTTTTTATTATTTTGATTTCGACCAGTTTCGAAGATACTTTTTCCTTCTCTTTAGCATCTAGAATTATATAAATAACACACTACAGGTTCTATATTGAATCAGTCATTTCCAAAATGACATGTTACATCTATAGGCAAGAAGTGAGGAGAAAATACGTCAAACCTTTAAAATAAAAAAATAAAATGATAATCGCGATACTTTCACTTATACATTTCTTACACAGGTAAGTGAAAATATAAATTATTTAGAAAAAATTAAGTTCAGAACATTATTGTACATTTGACCATTTGAAGATAACATTTGATTTGTATTTCATTCAATATGTTTCTAATTTAGTTGCTTTATTGATATGCTTTGTAGGTTTTTTAAAAATTCTTTCCGATTAATTCTCTTTGATTAGGCGCCTCATACTTTTTTAATTATAACTGGGCCATAAACGATTATAAAACACTCTGTCCACCTGACGGCGGACCGACCCCTATTTTACAAATTTCACAACTGCTCATTTAATTCTATTACTATTTGCTCCAATTATATAGCTTTAATTTACACGTATTCAGTAGTTCAGATTGTATTATTTTTTATCAACATAAAATAAACTAAACAAAACCAAGTTCGGACATATTTTTAATTTATTTAAAAATCTATATCATACATCGCGCCTTATTACCAATTTATATTATTATGTAATCATAATTATTCTTATTGCCAATTTGTAACCATTATATATATTCAAATTGTCCAGCTTCATAAAAGCGCAACAATAATTTGAGCCTTTTATTTCTAATATTTTCATTGATTGTTTTATTTTGTATCCTATTCTATTTCATAATAATTATAATTATATCACAATACAATATAAATAATATGATATATAATATAATAATTAATATATTATATTCAAGGGAAAAAACACACAACTTTCACTTACCGCTCTACTTTGAATAGAAATTATTTTCTGGCAAAGTTGGGCTATTAGAAACTTTTTGAAGTTCATTTTTAACGGATCTACAGCTTAAAGCTTACGGCTAACAAATCATAAAGACCATTATAATGACAAAAACTCTACTGATTACATCAACAGTAGGCAATAAAAACCTCGTTACTCCATCTGTTGTAAACCACATAGCTCCAGTTTCTGAGCTATATATCTAAGTATATACTTAGAGAGATTTGAAAGTGTATCTGTATATTCAACCTATAAATGCCTATGGATTATACGCTTATTAGTTATTGAATGTTATTTTCCATTGTAAAGTTTACAAAAATGAAATCACGTGATTTTCATTTCCTGCCATAAATACGCCAAAAGATGTCAAACTAATTTTAAGTGGATAATGGAATTTCTCAAAGGGAAAATTCATCAAATTATTCACTAATTAAATTTTCTAAAAGTAATAATTTCTAGAATTATTGAACTATAGTAAATGTATTTAAGGTTATAAACATGTGTTTTGTAAAATCATGAAATATTTTTATATTTCACTTCTTCTTTCACACAAGTTCAATAAAATAGGTTTTTTAACTTCATTGCCTTGATTAGGATGATTTTATACGTTTAAAAGTTTACATTTAGTTAATAAATTTCATTTAATTTACTTGAAAACAGTGATCCGTTAAATATTAATAATCTTCAGAAATTATTATTGATATTTTTCTATTTCGCTCTCCTTTACTTTCTATCTCATTTTTTTTTTCTAAAATTGTCCACTTCCATACGATATACTATACATATACCTTCTGACTATTATTTTCGAAGATCCATTTTCGAACTGAATAATTATTTTCATGTTTTCTCCTTTATTCAATTATCAAAACCTTATACTTAGCCTTTTTTCATTATTTAAATCAATAAGAAATAGTTAATTATTTAAAATAAACCAAATTAAAGGTACTTTAGAAGAAGACATGTTGAAAATTGGGCATTTAAGCCCTGCAAAGTGACATCAATGGGAACAAGATCTAAATGATATTAAAGGCCACATAATTATACATTCATACATTGAGTTGAACCAAATCGTTAGAATCGTTTTTGAGAAAATCTTAAAAATGTGTTAAATCGATTCTATAAAGTGCCACTCACGGCTAAGTTTAGCCGATTTTGACAAAAACGTTGCTGTAACATCTCAAGCATATAAAAACCTTAAATATGAAATTTCAATTTCACACAACTTTTCGGTTTTGAGCTAGACTGATAACAGACACACGGAGATCTTAAAACATATATTTCCGTTAAAAATTCAGATTCGAAAATTTCCACGATCGCAGTACTTTCTCTTACTATATTACATATTTAGGTAAATGAAAATAACAACTGCTGTCACCTAAGTAAAATCAAACTACCACCTCCAGATGAATATCATTTCCCTTACAAATTTTTATTCTAAAATCTATAATTTGTATTAGGAGAGTATGAAGTAACAGGAGCTTACCTAATAAACATATGTAGTTAAATGAACAGCTGTATAATTTGTAAAATAATCTCCACAGGGGAACAACACTAATTTTATCTCCTACTCTCCTAATACTAAAATAAAAGAAAATATGAAAATCACTAAACTTTTTTGTATAATAGACAGATGATTGATCATGAAAAACTGTTAAAAAAGTAATTATAAACAAAAACAGCTGTTAAAAGGTTTTTTTGATTTATTTTCTTGTTTAATAAAATTTTAATATTTAAGAAATAATTTTGTAATAATATATATTTTTATTATTAAAAATTGTATACAAATTAACTATGAAAAAAAATTGTAATTGACAGCAAAATTATAAGCTGAATAATTGAGTTTGATTAATTTAAATTGAAAACGCTTAAATAGTAAGAAATGCTGCCAGCATGCCACAAAATTGTCAAATTATAATTATTGGACTCTTTCCTTTTTCTTAGAAAACCTCTCACTCTGACATGGAGGGCTCCGCGATATCGTATTGCTTATAATGACGTTTTAATGTATATTTCCCTGCATATTTGTTATATATACTTCAATATACTTTTCCAATCTCAAAGATATTACGTAAATAATTATTTTATTTTATCTCTTTGAACTTTGAAATCAATAAAAGAGGAAATAATAATTCTTTCAGTTTACCATACATCTTCTACCTCTTGTTAAATAACGTTTATGATTTGTCATTAACAGTGGCGGCTTGCTACATTTGATGCCCCTGGGCAATTATGCCCCTCTCTTTCCGAAAAAATAAATATGTAATTTAGGAGAAGGAAATGAGACATATGTGAAGAACATTGTATATTACTTTACATATGTATTGCGTTTATTTTAATATGACTGTAATTCGATTGCATTATTTATAAGCCAGGTTGAAGCCGCCATGCGTGTGCCCGGGCTGTTCAGCTCTAAGGCAGGTCATTTATCTTATATATTAATATTAAAAAGATAGTTTATATCATATATTCACCTTATGTTACAGACATACTTATTGTTTCTTTTAAACTTAGAATAAATTATAATTGAGATAATTTTATCAATTGTTATAAACGTTCTCGAAGCAGAGGAAATTTTAAATTTTTAGAACTTCAAGAATAAGGTATAAAAGTATAAAGAATAAGGTATGAGAAACCATTAATGGGTTAATTGATGTTAACAGCCTGGAGTAGCTTATGAAGCATTTGTTAAACTAAACATACTTTGAATGGAGTCATTTAGTGATTATACCTCTTCAGGTTCCATTGTCAGCATCGCATCAGCTATATAGCAATTGTGTTTTTACCACGCTGTCATTATTGCTCTTGCGTGGATAGACGTGCGAACACTTTATCTTAAGATACGTAATGATTTCTTATAATACTGTGTCAACTTTCAATTTTTTTTTTCTTAATAATGGAAGCAGAAAGCAAAAATGGGAAGAATAAGACATTTTAAAAATTCACTTTAAATCCCTGTCAACAAGAATAAATACAACTTATATTAATTTTGTATTTATATTTTTAAATAGATAATTTTACCATATCAAGAAAATGGTCACTTTAAAATTATAGAATGCCGTAATTTTTTGGAGATGATTATATTGTTGATTGTTATTATATTTTATTTATTATTAAGCGTATTATAAAGATTATAAAGAGTCAATATTTGCAGCCCAGCTATGGCTTCTTTGGCTTGCCAAGATAATTCACAAGTTTTATAACTACTGAGTTTCTAAAATAATTTGTATAGAAACATTTTATATTATATCTATTTCAGCGGTGCTAAAACTTGGAGTGGTTCTCAGCCTCCTCCACCATTCGGCGCCCGCCTTCCAGTTCCTGATCCCTAAGAGGCTTCTTGCGTCCGCCGCCACTCCATCAGCTCACCTCAATCTCGGCCTGCCAGCTCTTCTTGTTCCATGAAGGACCTTCTCCAACACTCTCCTAGGAGCTGCTTTCTCACTCATCCTGACCACGTGACTAGCCCAATTAAATCCACCAAGCTTAATAAATTT